GCCTCGTCGCGAGGACCTTCACCTTTTGGTTTTATATCTTACCTCGAGTTTGTCACGTGTCGATCCAGACCGACCTACGCCGATCCGCTCCGCCGATCGTCACCGATCTACACCGATCTCCTCCGATCCGATCTCCGACCTTTCGCCGACTTCTTCACCGACGCCGATCCCGACTTTCCCGTTTCGGTCGAGGGCGGGATACGCCTATCACATGCACCGGGCCACCGGCGGCTCAACGCCCCGGTGGTTCCAGATCTTGAACGGATTCAACTCCGATTTTCCTGTTTCCTGTTCCCTTTGTCTGACATCATAGCTTCCCTTTGTAGACTTTAGTTTCCCGTCGCTTGCGACGGATCTTTCGGTCCGATCTTTCCGCCTCTTCCGTAGATATGTTCCCTTTGTGTTCCATACGATATCTCTTGTCTCCGAATGTTCCCTTTGTGCGCCGAACGGCGCCTCCGATCTCCGACATCTCCGACTTTACCATTGTTCTCTTTTGTACATATAAACCGTCGAACTGTACCGTAGATAGTCAGTTCGAATATCGACTAAGCTTCACTCTATTCCTCCTGCGGACTCAGAGCGCGTAGCAGCCTAGCGCACGAGCTTAGGCTTGGTCCGCATCCGATCTCGACTCCACCAACGTTTCCGACTTATCGACTTCACGCCGACGCGTCTCCGACGCGTCTCCGACTCCGCTCCGACTTCATTCTTGAGTTCCTCTCTTCTACTTCATTCTATTCTACGTATATACGTTTCGGACTTCGGTCCTCCGACTCCGTTATCCCTTGTCTGTATCCGATCTTGACAGAGTTGCTCAATCGAGACGTGAACTCTCTCTTGTTGTGCCGCTCGAGAACCTTACCGTGTGAACGCACCTTAGCCTTATTCGGCTTTGCCCGCGTCACACCTACACCGCCACGTAAAAATCCAAGACGTAATAGGAAACCAAGCTATCGACGAGAGCAAGCGCTACACTATGGACCTGGCCATTCGACCACCGATCGCGCTAGAATAGAGTGTTCCTGATCTTCGTCATCCTCAAACTTGAGCTTGTACATCGGCATGCCGTCCTTATTAGGCTGAAGGACGAGTTGTGTGAATACGCGCAGATAGCTCGAGCATAGACTGTATACCTTCATGTCCCTGGAGCTCGTAATGACCTGGGCCTTGTAGAAGGTACTTGTATCAGGGTAGAGCGCCATAACCGTTGATCCCGCCTCGAAGACGTGGTAGTTGTTGAGATGAGCAGGATGGTTCGGGGGCACCTCATCATCCGGCAACGGGATTATCGAACGCAGCGTGGTATTGTACACCCTTATCTGCCATCAGAGGTGTCCATACATGCAAAGCAATTCATTGCACTCACTGCCCCGGTTGGCCGTCTTCTTGCGGCTCAGGATCTTGTACTTCATAGCTGCGAAAAGAAGCGAGTTCAGTCATGTGCGGAAGCCTAAAGGAGGTTGGCCGGGACCCACCGGTTTTTGTCCTGATTGATCGACTTCAAAATTACTGCTAGAATCCAGGTGTTTTCGTCCACATGGCCGTCGTCCCCGGCTTTACCGTGGGTCGGAGGATGGAAAGCGACCTTGCGACCCTTTTCAAGGGGTAGCTGTTTGGCAAGCGCTTCTCTGCGTGCCCTCGGATCGCGTGAGAACGGGATTATAGAGGAGGGTCTAGACGGCGGCAGAGTAATTGAGACTGTAGGTTTCGGCGCTAGCGGCGCAGAAATTGGCGTTGGTGCAGCAGATACCAGAGGGGTATGCCCTGATGGTGAACGCCCCCGTTTCATACGTTTCTCTGCGGGTACGGTATCATCAAAAACTACGACTGGAGGCTGTAAGTAGCGAGCTACCTGGCGGCGTTGCTTCCGTGGCTCTCCGTAACCCTATCAGGACTTCGAGACGCTCAAGAGCCTCGTCTATCGCTCTGCGGACCGTGGGAATGAAGTCTAAAGCAACGAGCGGATCGTATCATACCTCACTTCAGCCTCAGCATTGTTCCTGATGTCATTGAGTCCTGAAGTGAGCTTCTTGTACATCAGTTTCAAGCCGTCATAGCCCTCTCCGGGCAACGTGTCGTCCGTTGGCCATGCAGAAATTAACCGGTTAACCCGGCCGATTGTTTCAACCGAGGAAGGACTAGCGTAGACCTCATTGAGCGCTCGCAAGGCCGAGCTCGCATGCGCCCAACATTGAGCTTCTGTAAACAAGAGGTTACAGAGCCTTGCGAACAGTGATACATCGCAATGACTCTACCTTCACTAGAAGCGGGTCGAGTTGATTGTCCTCGGACCATGATCAAATAATGCAGCGCTCAAGTGAATGAGGTCCGCCAGAGCAAATCAGATTGGTTCGCAGTAGCAATACCAGATGCGAGCGAACGGTGGTAAGGCAGGCAGCTCCGAAACGCGAGGTGGTGGTAGTCAGTGAGAGAAGCACAGAGCCCTGCCCGATTAGGAAGTTCCAGGCTGCCACGCGTCTGTTCTTCTGACTAGGGTCTGGGCGTGAACGAGTAGCACGACGGGCACAAGAAGGAGCGGTACAAGTGCCGCCCTTGCGAGTACGTTCGACGTATGCGCTACGGGGGGCTAGGCAAGCGTCACGAACGAGCGTCTCGAAAGCACAAGAGAAGACGAGAGCAAGGCTTTGCGGAACAGCAACCACCGGAATTCGCCACGTCACGTGAAAGATCTGAGATCAAAACCAAGCGCATGCCCATACGCAAAGCCCACCGATGCGCGTTGAAGACGATACAATACTTCAAGGTCTGGAGTTGGCGAGATTGCGCAGAGATACATCATATACAACTAGATAGCTGAGTCAGTTTCCGTGGTACACTTGACCCACGTAATCCATTACATACCTTCCTCTATTTTTTTGATGTCATACTTCAAACTATCATATCTGCGCCTGAGGGCATCATTCTTCAGGTTGAGCTATTCCTCTGGTTGAGAGCGTGTCAAACAATGCTGAGTAGTGCGCACCATCGAGAATCCGGCAAAAACATCCTTGACAAATATGGAGATCTTGATAGGTTCCTCGTAATTGCCCATTGTGACGGCATTGACTGCGAGCCTGGACTGATTGAGAATTTTTCATCAGAAGTAGAAATTCAATTAAGCACGAGCTAATTAACACAGAAGGAAACTGACACACCAACTCGTTGACCAAGCTGATGAGACCATGTAGATAATCCTCGGCGGCAAGAATAAGGCCGTCTTCTTGGACTTCGGAAAATAGTGAGCACTATGTGTCGACCGAGTTTAAAGAAACGGAATCACGTCCGAGTGTTTCGCTGACGCGGGCTAATGGGAGTAACGCGCGATCCTTTAGGTAGCTGACGAGAACGATGGCGAAGACTGTATTGCGTATCGAAAAAGCCCACATGTCTTTGTACCGCCAAAACTGGAGATCCATGAGCAGAGTCTTCGTACCAGAGCAGCGTCCGACCATACCTGATCTTTAGGGAGAAGTCCGGCGAGTTTCGCTGTACACTCCTTACACCCATCGATAGTCGGTTGTACCGAGTTCAACAATGTGGAGACTATATGCGAACGTTCGCTCAATTCCGGAGCAACGCAACCAGAAAAGACATCACACACCGGAGTCCCACGGTGTCGAATGGATCTTGTTCAACGTGCCCAACATACTCCTGGCCCTTTTATCCAGTTCGTTGACCTGATCCCGGATTTTCTGACGCGCGAGCCATGCATGAAGATGTCACATTCATTCTTGAGCCGCTTTCCAGCTCACTTCTCTGACGAGCACGTCATCTTCTAGAATACGATTGATCGACTGAAGCTCTTCCGGGTCCATTGTATTCCTGGTATCAGAGTCGGTATAAACAGTACCAGTGTAGCGAGACGGTAAAGTACGTTGTAGACCCGCCACAATCGCGAGTCGCGGCTCGGCTCTTGACTTCAAACCCCCTCACTCACGCATGTCTGCCCAGCATGGGGCGAACCTCGATGCACTCCTCCAGGACCTACGCGACAATCCGATAGACGCTCGAGACAAACGACAAGAGAAATTCATGTCAGATGTCTTAGAATATCTCATGGGACTACCCAAGTCATCGGACTCAGCCACCCATTGGTTCTGTGTGCATGCAAAGCCGGTCACCCGCGAAGCCGCCACGTTTCTGATACGCCTGTTCGCGTTCGATGGGCGTCAAGCCAACGAATGGAAGGAGAGGCTGAAGGATTGTCTTACTAGTTGTGCATTGTGCGTGAAATGCTTCCAAGAAGTCAAGTTCACCTCCCGGCGTACGTGAGTCACCCGAGCATGCATGCCAGTCTAAAGCTATCAACTCGCTAACGCGCTCTAATTCTGGCTCAGATACTTCGGAGTGTTCTCAGACAACATATTGGCAACCTTCTGGAGTGCGTTTGACAAATGGGAACGTCAGCTTGTGAAGGAACAACTATCGAAAGCGACCTCGTCTTCTGCGAAGCGCTGTACTCTGGAAGATTTACCTACCCCTTTAATCACTCATCTCCTGTCGAACACGGCCATGCTATTGGAACCGGATCTACTTGACTTTGTTTGCACCTCCATCCCTTCGGGAAACCTGGACGAACTACCGATGGATCCACCTCCAGTATGTGTGTGGTATCTCGCATTGCACGAAGACGATCGAGTTAGACAATGGTCCAAGGAACAAATGATGTTATGTAAACGTGTACCGATCTCTGCCGAGACGTTCGAGGTTGCATACCATAGGTCATCCCTGATGGACGATGCCATAGCCGCTATCTCTGGCAAAGGGAGAAAAAACTCTGTCAAATTTCCATTCGCTGTTGAAGCGGGGCCTCTGTGGTCGGCATTCGTGGGCCTCATCCGGCTCTTGCCCCCGGAACTCTTGAAGCCTAGGGACAAATCCCGTGCGGATGTCAGTCAGATCATACTCGGACATCTGCATGACCAGGGGAGCCGTCAGTGTTCTATTCGCTATCCGTCGTCATTCCATTCTGAAAGTGCCGTTTACGTCTTCTATCAGATTTTCAGGACGTTCTCAAGTGTTTCCTATACCTGCTACAACGCCTTGGCAGCGAACTGTGGAAGGGCGAGAAGACTGAATATCCTCAAGTAATCTTTGACGCTATCAAGGATAATCATCGCTATGTGGATCTCGTCGCGTCCACGAGACCTGGTATCGAGAAGCCCTGGCATCTGGGATGGTACACGGAGTTCCTCCAGAGTCTCTGGAAGCATGCCCAATTTCCGGAGATACTAGCGCGGATGACGGGGTTCGTCTGCGAAGAGCTTCAGCACGAACGATTCGAAGACGTTCGGCCCATAATCATGCTTAACGCTGTGAGGGTACGCGAATTGCTCTCATATATCTGGGAGAACCTTCACAGACGTCGTGCGTTTAGACCTTGAGATGGGCTTTGCTGAAGGATGAAGGCGACGAGGACAAGAAGACACACCAAGCGGCTGTGCTAAATGCCCTGGACATCCACGCCGACATCCTCGTGACCGTGGCCTTCGGTAAACCGTATAGAGATGCAAAGTGGGCCTCCGCACGGAATACGATCAGGGACTTCATCAAGATTGTCTTAATCATGGACCAGCAACATGTTTCTGCGTCAATCACCCAATTATGCCGAATTTTGGCTCGTCACGACACCGCGGTCGTCGTCCCGTCTGTCAGGACCCAGATGTGGCAGAAGATGTACCGCGCTGTACAAGGCGATGATTCCGATGCGGTGGCTACGCTCGTCGCCATATTAGCGCGCTCCGCCCATATGGGCTTCTTGCACGAAAGCGCCTTTAAAGCGGCTTTGGAAGGAAGTCCCGCACGAGATGCCTTCACGAAGGTGAACCAAGCGTTTCAGCTCTTCCGCAACGGTTTTGTCGATACCATCTCGAGGTACACGAACTACAGTAACGAGCCGAAGATCCTCGACATGCTTCAGCGTCCGGGGCTCGTCAAAGACATCGTAATGTTGATGTTCTCTCCGAGCGAGGAGATGCATTCCGGGGCACAGAATCTTGTAGAACAGGCTTTCAACGTTGACGGTCGCGCTGACTGCTTCCGCGCCCTTCTTGAAAACCTTCCTCACGCTACGCTCAGCGCCATCTTTGATGTCTTGGAGACTTTTGTTCAATATGCTCCTATAGTGCCAGAGGCATGCAGCTTTTCCAAAGTCCTTGTCCTATGCCTTACGGACATTCTTGAGGTCCTCTGTTCCACCCCTGATGGACTTCTTCGTCATCCTCGGTTTCTCAAACCTGAAGAAGGTTCTGATTTGGCCGCAGAGATACGCAAGCTCTGGACTTGGACGACCAAAGCCATCGCCCTCGTATTCAAGCGTACGCCGGCGTGGTCAGCGTACTTCGATAGCGAGGAGATGATCCTATGGATGCGCGATGCATTGATATTCGGGCGTGACCTGCTGTCGCAACGAAGGTTTCTTACCTCTGTAGTGGCAACCGGACCCCAGCAGCCTCGCTCTGGGAATGCAGGTTCGACGAAGAAGGCCAAGCAATTGTCTTTGTCGATGATCAACGATCTTCAAGTGGTCCTGCCGGAGCTTGTCCGTTGGCTGCGGCTAACGAACGAAGAGCTTCTCTACCAGTCATTCGCCCTTGTTCAATCCCTATTGGAATGTTTTCACGAAGCGGGTGTTTCTCCTCCACATGAGTTGATGGGCAAGCTCCGGAGACACGTTGAAGATGGTCGGAACAAGCAGCAAAAGCAGACGAGACTGGACGCCTCCCGGATAGACAAGCTGGAGCAGTGCCTTGCGGCGTTTGAAGATAGCGATGACGACGTAGAGATCGTCGAGGTCAAACAAGCCCCGCCAACGCAAGTCAAACTGGAAAAGAACCGGGAGCGGGTTCCATCCGCCGCTCCCAAGCCCTCGGTGACGTCTCGGAAAGCTTTGGAGCAGAAACAAGACGTTTCTGCGGGACAGGGAACTTCTTCCAGACTGCCCCCTGTTTGGGATCGCAAGGCAGGAAACCAGTTGACTGTCCTACCTCGTGCACCACCCGGAACGTCCAAGATTGCTAGCAGCGCGCCAGCCAAATCAAGCACGACTACCATTGCATCGGGGGGCGATTCCTCCTCATCCAGCAGCGAAGATGAGGAAAGTGAGGGCGATGAACGCGGCCTCAAGGGCTTGGCTGCGTTGGCAAATCTTCAGTCTACGCCCAAGATCAAGAAACCGGAACGGCGCCAAGTCAAGTTGCTTGACATACCGACGGGCAAGAATCCTATGCAGGAGCGCTTGAACAAACGCGACGATATCCGTCGCAACGGCCTTCGTTTAAAACCTGACATATCTGGGCTTCACCGTGCAGTCCTTTCTTGGGATTATGATCACAATGGAAACGAGCCGCCTTTCAAAGAGCCGCCGAAGTTACTCCGGGTTCCCGACTCCTTCCGCGATCACGACCAGTATCGCAGCGTCTTTGAACCGCTACTACTGTTAGAATGCTGGGCCCAGATTGTTCAGTCGAAAGACGAGCCTGCGGAAACGTACGAATGCCAATTGATCTCCAGGCAGTTCGTGGACGACTGGATGGACGTCGACATCACAATCGGCGAATCTGTTCGCAAAGATTGGAGCTTGGGCGAAACAGATATTGTGCTCCTGAGGCAGCCCGAAAGCAAAAGGGCTATGCTGGCCAAGGTGCAGACTTATAGAGCGTCTCCCCGGGGTATTCAAGCAACTCTCAGATGCTCAAACAGAGCAGGTGGCGACTCTAGCTTGCAACTAAACACCACTTGGCGTGTCCGGAAAGTCTTCAGGTGAGCGCTTAAGTCCACATATGTTGATTTGACAGCTTAAGTGCTCTGTATCAGCCTGAGTACGTTGCACCGCGAGTATGCCTCATTAATGGCCTTGCCCTACTACGATTTCTTCCACCACATTATGCGGCCTCGGCTGGGAGGGAAGCCCCGTTTGCAAGACGACGAAGTAAAATCTGCCATGAAGGCGTACGGGCTCAACGAACCTCAAGCCAAAGCAGTTCTCAGCTCCCTACGAGCAGAGTCGTTCTCTCTTATCCAAGGGTAAAGTTCCGGCCATCTTCGATTGAACTGCTTGCTCACGTCGTTTAGGCCGCCGGGTACAGGCAAGACTTCTACCATATGTGGGTACGTACCCGGCTTATCATCATACCCATCATAGTCGACTCAAATGACGCGCCAGATTGGTACAGGCGTACTTGGCTAGCCGACGCAAGCCTGCAACAAACATACAAGCAGGTCGAGCGACGGCTGCCTCGGATACTGCACCGGTCAAGAAAGTGCTCGTATGTGCGCCAAGCAATGCAGCTATCGATGAAGTTGCCTCCCGCTTAAAGGAAGGTCTCTCTGGTTCCGGTAAACGTGGAATACAACCTAAGGTAGTCCGCGTTGGTGCGGACAAAGCCCTGAACATTAGCGTCAAGGATATCGCTCTGGACGCTCTAGTGGAACAGAAGATGAACGCTGCGCCGAATGCGAAGGAGCTTAACAAAGACTCCAACGCGGAGATTATAGCTTTGCGCCAAGAGATAGAGGCTGTGAAGCAGCAACGAGCTCAGAAATTCGAGGAGATCACCAACACGCATGACAATGCAGTGAAGACGCAATCCCTTGAGGAAGAAGCGCGGAGTCTCAATGCGAAGAGGATGGCTTTATCGCAGCGCCTCGACAAGCTGCGAGACCAGCAGAAGTCCGCATCCCGTTCTCTTGACGCTGCGCGCCGCAAATATCGCACAGAGGTTTTGCAAGAAGCAGACGTAATCTGCAGCACATTGTCCGGCGCCGGTCACGATGTTCTCGAGGCCCTCGAAATTGACCTGGTCATCATTGATGAGGCCGCCCAAGCTATAGAACTCAGCACGCTGATACCCTTGAAGTATCCATGCAAACGATGCGTCATGGTGGGAGGTATGCATGAACCGTTCAGTCCAAATTCATGTTGCTGATCGCCTTCAAGACCCGCAACAACTGCCGCCAACAGTTTTGTCCCAAGAAGTACGTCATCGTCCTCGCTTGTTATATGTTATGGGATAACTCGACGATATCCAGGCGTGCAAATATCAATACAACCAATCGTTGTTCGTCAGACTTCTGAAGGACCAACCGGAGGCCATCCATCTACTGAGGTATCACATTCACGCTGACTTCGCTCCTATGGCTAATTCTCCAAAAGCATACAGTATCGCATGCATCCGGAAATTAGTCGTCTACCTAGCCAAATCTTCTACGATGGACGGCTTCAAGATGGTCCTGATATGGCCGAAAAGACGAAGCAACCATGGCACAGGCATGCAAAATTCGGACCATATCGGTTCTTCAACGTCAACCGAGGGCAGGAAGAACCAGGCCGTGCCAAATCTCTGATGAACAAGGCTGAATGTCAAGTCGCCGTGGCCCTTTACACTCGCCTACGACGAGAGTTCTCCTCCATAGATCTCGATTTTCGAGTTGGCGTAGTCTCCATGTACCGAGCGCAGATCTTCGAGATGCGTCGAGCGTTTGAACAGCGCTTCGGAGCCGAGATTGTCGGCAAGGTTGATTTCAACACAGTCGATGGATTCCAAGGTCCGCATCAAGATACTCCTGCTGTTTGCTTTCAACTGATCCCAACTGCGCAGGCCAGGAGAAGGATGTTATCATCTTGTCCTGCGTACGTGCGGGCGCTAATCTTCATTCAGTCGGCTTCTTGTCTGGTACGTTAGCTTCAATTGCGCTAACCATTCGCGCTCATGCAATGTGCAGATACTCGCCGCATGAACGTGGCCCTTACGCGAGCGCGTTCGTCTCTTTTCGTTCTCGGCCATTCTCCGACCCTTGAGAACGGTGATAAGACATGGTCAAAGATTGTGAACGACGCTCGTTCGCGATCATGTCACATCGATGTAAATATGCCAGGCATCATCAAAGAAGACCGCTGACATCCCGCTAGGTGGATGTAAACTATTTTACAACCCCTGGCCATTCAACTCTGCCGTCGCCGATACCATCAGTCAAGAATCCAGTGCGATCCGTTGCGCAACGGCAAGATCCTGCGGTGGAGGGATTGATGACGCCGAAGGAACTTGCCTCTGGGCCTTCCAAGGCGCCTGTTCTGAAGCGCGAGTCTGCGTCTGACCTCATAGGCAATCAGGTGGATGGGGCGAAGAAATCCAAGCATGTAGTGCCGGAAAAGCGCCGGGCTCCGGTTGAAGCCGAACACGAACACTCGGCAGACGAATCTGCCGCGTCGCGAAAACCATCTGTGCAAAACGCGAAACCCAAGGGTCCTCCTCCGAAACGTCAAAAGCAAGGCCCGAACCTTTTCATACCAAAGACCAATAAGGTGAGTATATGTGCTGTGTTAGAAACTCATGACCCTGAATATCCACATGCGAACAGCGACCTGGCCATTAGATATATCTTTGCAACAGTACCTAGCATCAAATTACCGGAAACATGGAAGCCTAATCACACCCATTCTAACTTAACAGCACGTAGTATCGACATAGATGTATCCCTAGGATTTTTGTATTTTTTCGGCCTTGATAGGTGGTAATTCCCAGGAGTCCGGACCAAAATGAGGTATGACCATCATTGTGCCGTCACCTCTCTTGAAGGGCTTGGAGTACGTGCATAGTGAAGGTCCGGCAATACTCGAGAGCCACGCCGGATTGATGATTGTCAGACCTATATAGTGTTGATCAACGTGCTATTCAAGTGCAACGCTTCCCAAGAGTGCATCACCTTTCATCCACACTCTGCTCGTCCGGACCACCTCCTGGTACACGATGAAGTCCGAAGGCGCTCTGCTGGCGAGGACAGAGGAGGGATGGACAAAAACATCCTCTTCGATGCCCATGGCGCGGTAAGCTACGTTGTTACACGTGGCATATTGTGTACCTCCGGGTGAGGGTGTCAAGAGATCTTTTCGGATCGCGACTTGATCTATGAACGCTGCGGTGAGCAATTGCCGCATAACTTTGATCTAATCGAATTATCAGCGTAAGCATAGCACCATGAACACGTTGACTACCTGTGTCGGGTTTGGCGGGAGCAAGTTGGGCACGAAGCCTGCATCCGCCGCGGCGAAGTTTGTTTGAACTATAGCCGATATCTGGGCCCGAAGCTTGTGTATCTCCTCCATCGCCTGTCATGGAGTCACGAATGTCCATTCCACGATTCCAAGGACTTTTCTGCTTACCTTGAGTCGCACGAAGTGTTCTTCGCAGAAACTGTGCCCACCGCCGGCGTATTCGTAGGCACCGACAACGGACAGGACTCGGAACGCATCGCTAGTAAAACTTCCAAGTGACCCGTGGGTCTGAATTGTGGTTGTCAGTATCACCAAAACAAGCTGAACAGACGATCAACCCACATGCTGCGTCTGGAAGAACAATCGCCGACGGATCTTCCGCGTTTCCTTAGCCCGCTGCGCGTCACTCGTTAGGTGAGACAAGTCATCCCCAATTTCATCGATCTCTTCCATCGCCTCGGTTTCCAAAGCCTCCTCTCTTAGGAAGGGGTCACCTACGGAGAGTGCGGAGACTAGAGCGACGACGTAGGGCAAACATCCGTGCTGGCGACCCGCGAGCAGCATCTTCGAGAACCGCGGAGACAAGGGAAACAACGACATTGCCTTCCCTAGTTCGGTTATGTGCCCTCCGCTCAGCTGCTTGCGCGAGAACGATTCTCGCGGAACTTCGATTGCACCGAGGTGCGCCAGGACAGTCTCAGCCTTGAGGAGCGCGTGCCGGTCCGGAGGAGTCGGAAAGGGGAAGTTCACGACTGTATGTATGTGCATGCTCTTCATCTGGAGCACGACACCGTCAATCGGTACGCGGAGGATCTCTGGTTGCGTGAACTGGTCGAAGTAGTGCTCGTACAGTGCGGAGGAATAAAGCCTGTAGCAGTGTCCCGGTCCCGTTCGTCCCGCACGTCCTGCGCGTTGGGCGGCCGATGCCTTGGATATCCAGCTGACCTGGAATGCTTGGATACCGTTCGCCACATCATATCGCCGCTGCAGAATTGTGACGACTGAGTGGTGTACGAGAAGCAAGACATGTCCACCAACCTCCTTGGCCCTTCCGCAATCGACAACATACCGAATTCCGGGTATAGTGAGCGACGTCTCGGCAACATTCGTTGCAACCACGACGAGGCGTGCGCCCTCGGGAGGTGGTTTGAACACGAGCATCTGCTTCTCGCTTGGAAGGAGAGAATACAGGGGTACTATGTGCATGGGTGCTGGCAAGGCATGTCAGACTTCGCATGGAGTTAAAATCGAAGACGACCTACCGTCGGCGTCTTCTAGTACAGCATCGAGCTCAGGATTCTCATCTTCGCTATCCAAGGCCTCCTCGTCGTGCTGAATAGCGTCATCATCGACGTCGCCGGCTAACTCTTCTTGGAGGCGATCTCCAAGATCAAGGTCTTCAGCCTCGAGCGCGACTACGGTTCCTGTTAGGTAGGTCTATTGCTCGGAGACAGAAACGTCAATACCTTGTCTTGCGCTAGGGATTGATCCCGGCTGCTCGTGTTCCGTAATGGTCGCCCGACCTCGTGATCGTCGTGCTTGCAACGCTTTCGTGCCGTACCTCGCCTCGAGCTTCCTGCAGACGCCGGAAATCTCGTTCTGTCCTGTGAGGAAAACGAGGATGCCGCCAGGCGGTAGTCGGGAGTGGATTTTGGACGCCTTCTTGACGGCTTCGGTGACGTAGTCCGACGGGGTGCGGCGATTGAAGTGAACGGTGACGGGGTGTTGCCGAGCCTCGACATTGATGATCGGAGGCGGGGTGGCGAAGAGAGTGGTGTTATCGGCAAAGTCACTGACGCGCAACGTCGCCGACATGATGACGAGGCGAAGGGGCTGAATAACAAGAAACGGATGAGCGCCGGGCGACAAAAAAAGAGGGCAGTATCACCTTAGTACCTTCCTTACCTTCTTGCCACATTTCCTCGCGCAGTTTGAGTACGCGGCTGAGTACTCCGATGAGGATATCAGTGTTCATACTTCGTTCGTGAGCTTCGTCAATGATGATGACCGAATACTTCGTCAGGAGGAAGTCGGTAGCCAGCTCCCTGAGCAAGACACCGTCTGTCATGAATTTGATCGAGGTTGACGGCGACACCGTGGCGTCGTAGCGTATTTGGTAAGATACGCGAGTCGGTGGTAATGAAAGCTCATGGGCTACACGAGCAGCCATCGACATAGCGGCGACACGACGAGGTTGAGTCACCCCTATCATTCCCGGGTTTTCTGGAAACAGGGGATGAGCGGGACATTCTGGCTTCGAACGCATCACGCACCACTTTCTGGGCTGCCAAAGCCCCATTCATACAAGAACTGCGGAACTTGAGTTGTCTTTCCACTACCCGTTTCACCGCATATGATCACGACGGGGTTGAGCAGGATCGCTTCCATGATGGACTGTTCTTCGGCAACGATGGGCAGTGCGAGGCGAGACTCTTGCACATCCGCCGGGCGATCTACGAGAACGGTTTTCCGTTTCGGAGCGAACTCATCCCCCATAGATTTAAGCTGCTGAGCAAGACTCGTTTCCGGCAGCTGCAGGTCCTCGCCCAACGGTCCACGCATCTCTTGAGGGCCTAACGGGCCTTTGGGCTTCGGCGGGGCTACAGCAGGATGTCGATCTTCTGGTGTATCTCCTGCATCTTCCGCGTCCGGAACGGCAATGTACGGTTTCGCCGTGCTCAACTGTTTCATAGCCCATGCTTTGAAACCTGCAACGCGGCGCGTGGGCTCCGTCTGCTCGACTTCATCATCAAGCTTTGCGTCCACGTCCATCCCTTGAACCGAGGCGTCTGATTCTTCCTCCTCGGTGTCGGTTCCTTCTCCCACCCCAATTCCTCCCCATTCGCTCTCAGTTTCCTGGCCCGAAACTGAGTCCGAATCAGAGTCGTAAGCGGAATCCGAGCTGTCGAAGCTATCCTCCGAGGATTCGACACCGTCGTCCTTGCCATGGCCAGGCCCCGTCTTCCAGCTTTGGAAATTGAGCTGCAATTACATCAACATGATCAGCTCCCCGTGTCCTGCATTCGCGCAAACGTTCGAACGCTTAGCTAACCTTCTTCCCCCCTTTAGATTTCCGCGCTACCACCCGAGGGGCGACCAAGGTCCCATCGGCTTTGCGGGCGAGAGCACTTCCAATGGTCATTGTGGCAATGGAATCGGACGGTTTGCCTCCCTTGATGGAACTGCCCTCATCCACCACTATCACAGGGTTCGACCTAGATGACCCGATCGCCTCCGGACCGCCAGTATCATGGCTTTCGTGTGCTATATCCTCGTCGCTGCCGCTTTCCGAGCTTGCATACAATTCCCTCGTTCGTTTGCGGCCTTTGGCGCCGTATAGGGCATGTCTGATCTCCTTGTCCTCCTGGCGTGCGATGGTCTCTTCGTGGGTAATCGCTTTGCCTGTCCCTAACGTTGACGACGACTGGAGATGTAATGATTCAGGGAAGTCAGCTTGGCTCTTCCTATGCATGATCGGTTGTCAGCGAACAAGGAATATGTATGCATGTATACATTTGATACGAACGCAAGCTTCTGGAGGACGATGTTCCGTTCTTCCTGTTTCAGTTTCTTGTCCTGCGAATGTGGTTGAGCGTGCGTGCTATATGCTCTGAGGTGCGTTAGCTTACGATGTACTTGTCCAGCCGGCGCTTCTTCTTGCTCGTCATCTTGGAGTTGGATTGGGCAAGCTATATAGCAACATGATCAGCAAACAGTTACTATAAGTCTGGATAACGCTCGCAGTGAACGGGATGGGGCAGCGAACCAAACACAAACGGCATATAACACCAACTATATACGATTTTTACGGTAGAACAGCGGGACGAGCGAGAGAAAAACACACCAACTCCTGCTGAAGTCGCTCTTTCCGCTCCGCATCCTTCTGTTTCTTCGTCTTGGGCACCAGGAGTTCCGCGTTTGGATTCTGTTCTTCATGCGCCACTTCTGGCGCCAGGGCCGGACGCTTCCCCTTCTTGTGCGATGTTCCGGCTGTTGACTTCCGTGCCTTAGCATTGAAGCGTTCCCGTGCTTGTCTCATACTGAAAGATCTGGTCCGTATGAACTGGATGAAATTGGGAACGAGGAGCTCTGCAAAACTGCCAAAAAGGTGGGAGAAGTAAACCTCAGCCCTATTCCGGGACTTGGGAAATCTTTTGCATTACAGCCGTTTTCATGAATTCCGACTTCCCCGCAGAGCAGTGACCGAAACGTTACACAAGTGTGACAATGTGTGACTCAACCATTTCCAGGTTACATACGTATCAAGGTTTCGTCCGTTTATCTGTGACTCTGCAGCTACAGACATATTAACAGACCTTATGGGAAGTCATCCATTGGCCAGACAAGTATGTCATAGACTGTCCGCAGATCAACTGGCTCCGCCGTGGACATTTGGTGGGTATGCTATGTCATCGATCCTTCAAGTAGTCCGATTCATATTCTCGTTTTGACTACTGTCAATCGTGTTACTCGCAAGTCGCTCTGAGAAGAAATTCAGTGAATGTAGAAGCGCGAATCGCCAGTAACTCACCGCAATCCGTACCGAACGGCGTCACCGTGAAATATGAAGGCGATCGACCGTGGAGCGTGAGTCTCAGCCCCTCGCGTCCTTGGCTCTCATCCCACCCAAGAGCAACGGCGAGCTCCTTTGGTACGTATACGGTCTGACCGTCGAGAACCACTTTGTGCTCTGAGGGCGGTGAAAATATCTGGCAGTTTGACTGCCTTCGTCTTTGGACAGTGACGCCTTGACCGTAAGAACAGCGAACGGAGAGGGCCCGGGGGTTTAACATCGACACTCGGAATGCCATTCAGCATCCACAAAAAACGAGAGGACTTGCTATAGAACGAGACCGCGTGAACACCTTGTATGTGGCAACATGTGTGTTTGACCTTATTTGGTTGCTGTCCATGCTGTCCGCGCCGCGAGTCAGTACCTTCCTGCTGTTGCTGTTCCATCCAGCAGCGGAGGCTTTCTACGGCTTCAGCTTCACAGTCTCTGCCGGTTGGGTCTTTGGAACTCTTCTCAGCGATCTGCGATCATGGTATCGCGTGCAGTCCATGTAGCCCGATTGTTCAGTCCTACCTATGCTTCCAGGGTGAATGCCCAAATTGTCTACCCTGCATCTCATGCGGTTGTCAAGCCGAACGAGCTGTACTCGGCTCTCGCGAGACCCCTTATGACGGCTACTTACGAGCCTGACCGACCTGTCACTTATCTGGCCGCCACGCTCGCCTACGGTATCATTCAAGGTACGCGTGGAGCATCACTTCAGTCGAACAGTTTGCATCTTGATATAGTGCGCCAAGGGCATCCATTCTTTGACGGTAATAAGCGGACAGGTTGGCTCATTTGCCAACGCAGTGTGATCACATGGCTGACTCTTGCGACAGCATTCTTCCTGGCGAACGAGTTCATGCGGATATGCGGTCTTCGTGGTCTGACTGCTCAAGATGGCGATACCCTCACACCCGAGGAGCTGATACGATTAGCAGACCGGCATATAAGTGTAGCACAAGGGAACTTAGGTGTCGACGGTTTGGAATACAAGCTACCAGGAGATGTCGGACCATAGCTGTATGTCGCGTCTCTCTTCGTTTTCTCACACTCACTCGATCGCCCCAGCCCGGTGCGCTGTCCCAGGTTGATAACGGCTCGTTTTGTCGTATACCAGTTTCCCCAAATATCGATTAGAGGCATCCTGCATCGAGCACCATAATGGCCAAAGAAGTCCGAGATTGGCATCCTTGAACTGGTGCTATCGTTCGGTGTCGTCGCATGTTCGGCCAGATACACAGCACTTGTTCCGCCGAGCGAAATGGTGGGTCCTTGGTCAGGGCATCTTATATTGCCCAGCTCTCTCTTCCAGGCGTTGTATAGCTGAGCACTGGCGAAGGCTACGCATTGATAGTTATCTCAGCGGTATGCTTCGTGCTCGGAGGATCCTGTAAGTTGATCAAGTTAGGTGCCGTAGCGCCCCTCAGCCCCTCACACTTTGCGCAGTCTTCCATGGGCAAGGCGGTACGGCACTTCACCGCTGGGCAATGGGTTTTCTCTGCGGCTGTTCAATGGAGAATTACAGTATAAATTACCTGAGTTCCATCGGTATGAAGACACCGGTCAAGCACCACAAACGCTCCTGACGTCCTACTTACTCCCTTTGCACGCACGGTGAGGAGTTTCCGAGATCGTTGGTCCATGTATTGACGAGATCGAGTACACAGGAACAACCATCCAATGGCAAGCCGTATTACCGCCGAATTTGTTAAGTCTCTTAACAACGCCATCACGGGAAGTTGTATCGTCGTGAAACCCGTCGAGCTGGAGTCGGCCCTCGCCCGCCCTATGAACCTTGCTTACTACCGGCCTGGGTCTACTCCTGCTCAACAAGCTGCTTCGCTCGCTTTTGGCATAATTATGAATCACCCTTTCGTGGATGGCAATAAGAGGACCGCTTTCTGGGCAGCGCACGAATACCTCATTGCCACTACCGGAAACGGGTTCACTAGGCAACATCTTTCTGCAGCTTCTTCTAATGCTCTGATGGAAATCATCGGTAACGCGCATGAAGCCATTGCCACTGGAACCATGGAAGAAAGCCAGCTCGCCGAGGTCTACGCTCGAATTATCTCGTCCTGATTATCTCCTCGTCCTGACGGTCGTTTTGCTCTTCGTTCGTTCTCTGCCGACCATTGTAACAGTAGAGCGATATCTTTCGTGTTAGTAGCCAAGCGAAATGTCCAGTGACATGCATAGATAGTCCGTCGTGACTAAGAATGTTATCCTTGCGTCCGCGACAAAACCGATGCGGTCGAAGATGCGCGATGCGACAATACATGGTATACTACATTTGCAAGCTTCCCTAACTTCGTCCGACATACGCAACCTTAGCGAGTTGAGATCCCACGCTGGAATCACCTCCATTTGGGCCTGCCAACGAGCTGCGCCTATGGTGGTGCGTATTCTGCACCATACGCGCGCATCTCCGGCGCCAGTACCCAGACTATGGATATACGGAGGCGACGGCAAAGGGATCACAGGATGCATAGAAGCCCGTCGGAGACATCTCCGATGATTCAGTGTCTTCGGTGATCCTTGAGACGAGAAGCTATAATCACAAGTACACCTCCTGTTCGTGAATCCACGCCTACCGTGGTCCTGATCAACATTATTAATGCCCTCGCCAACCACGGACTGCACTTGCCATGAGTAATCCCATTATATACCAGGCGGCTGGCCCGCAGACCCGTTCTCATGTCCTCGTCATACTCGATACGGCGCCCGTATTTTTAGGTAGCTTCTTTTCGCCGGTCGCCAACTGTTCCAAATCGGCAGGCTTGAAGTAATGCGGAGCCACTAGATTATCATCATTAGAAAAAGGTCATTCGATCATGAAACAAGGGAGCGTACCTTCGAGTAACCAAGATGGTTTGATCTCCATGACTTGTCTGAGGGCCAGGTCGTTAGAGAAATACAGAGGACGAGTCTTAGAACACGGACCGCATGTATGACTTCGACGTCATCACCAACTCGTAGTAAAGCAACGCCTTCGGGGGTGGTTGTTGCTGAAACAGACCTGAAGACGGGTGAATGTACACAGTGTGATTTGTCTTGAGCGTCCGATATGAATCGCCACTCTTTTGTAGCTGGGCCTGGAGCCGAGTCAGTATGCGGACGTCATCGTCATCATATCGCGACGCTCACGGTGTTGTAGAAGTAGCCGGCAGTGATCGCCTTCTGTACCGGCGTAATGTCGTTCGAGTTCGGGTTGCTCTCGACCACGATCTCGACGCGCTCGCACAGGCCCGCGAGCTGATCACGAATGTCACGCGCACGGCTCAGACTCTTGAACTGCAGGAACTGCTCATAGCAGAACTGCTGCGAGTAGTTCGTGTCCGCCCACTGCTCCCAGACGTTGAGCAGCGTGAAGTGGTCCCCACCCTGGCGCACGAAGTTCTGCCGAGCCTGGTCCGCGTGCAGCTTCTTGTCCTTCGGGCGGTAGAAGAGCGAGGAGCTCTCCTGGAGCATGCTGATGATCGTGAGCACCTCGTCCGTGCACTGGTAGTGCTCGCTCGCGATGATCGCCTTGCTCAGCATCGGGTCGACCGGGAACTCGGCCATGCGCCGCCCGAGCTTAGTGAGCTCGCCGCGGTCGTTGAGCGCACCGAGCGCGTAGAGGAGCTCGAGGGCGCGCATGAGCGTCTCGCCCGGTGGTGGGTCCATGAACTCGAACCCGATGAGGTCGTTGATACCGAGGGATTTGAGCAGGAGCACGACCGAGCCCAGGTTCGTGCGCTGAATCTCCGGCACCGTGTTCTCCTCGAGCTCGTTCGCATACGCCCACTTGGTGTACAGCCGGAAGGCCTTGCCCGGACCGACGCGGCCCGCACGCCCGGCGCGCTGATTGGCGGACGCGCGCGAACACGGGACGACGACGAGAGAGGACATGCCCGTGCGAGGGTTATACGAGTTTTGCTTGACGAAACCGGGGTCGATGACGAAGACGACACCGTCGATCGTGATACTCGTCTCGGCGATGTTCGTCGCGAGGACGACCTTGCGCGCGCCCTCTGGCGTAGGCTCGAAGATCTTTGCCTGCATGTCGGACGGGAGGTTGGCGTAAATCGGGCAGACGATGAGTTCCGGGATTTTGTTACCCAGAGCACGCGCGGTCTCGGTCAAGTTCTCTTGCGCGGCGTCGATCTCGTCTTGTCCGGTGAAGAAGACGAGGATGTCGCCCTTGGGCTGCGTTGTATGGATCTGGAAGACGGTGGTGATCGCGGCGTGAAGGTAGTTGGCTTCGGGTTGTGGCGTATAGTGGATGTCAACAGGGTATCGTCGGCCAGGAACTGAGTACCGTGTGAGCCAGTGTGCGCGTATTGAGGGAAACACGACGACATACCGTAGAAGATAGGCGCGTCGTCAAAGTACTCGCCAAACTTTTCCGCGTCCATGGTTGCGCTCGATATCAGCAAGCGGAGCTCGGGCCGGAACCGCGCGATATCCTTCACGAGTGCGAAGAGGATATCGGTGGCGAGTGTGCGTTCGTGCGCCTCGTCGATGATAAGCGCGCTGTAACCTGCGAGATCGGGCTCGGTGAGGAACTCGCGAAGGAGCATGCCGTCTGTCATGTACTTCACGACCGTCTTGTCGCTGGTGCAGTCCTCGAACCGGATCGAGTAGCCGACCTCGTGCCCGACCTTGGTGCCCATCTCTTCTGCTACACGCGCAGCGACGGACATGGCCGCCACGCGCCGCGGCTGCGTGCACCCAATCTTCTGACCGTTTGCGGTGTAGCCTGCTTCGTGCAGGTACTGCGGAAGTTGAGTTGTCTTGCCTGAGCCAGTCTCGGCGACGACGATCAGGACCTGATGCTCCTTGATTGCGTCCAGGAGTTGTTCGCGGAACTGGAAGATCGGGAGCGATTTGCGTGTCTCGTCAATCGTCTTGGCTGTAAAACGTTATTAACATGCATATATGCGTCGAGAACAGAATGGTAGGGCTCACCCCGCTTCTCCGCTTCCTCGATCTGCGCCTGTAGCAGCTTGTCCTTCGCACTCAGCATTCCCTGCCCGCCCATCGTGCTGTCCATGACGAACTTGATGGTCTGGCTCTCGTCGAACACATACTCGTAGTCCTCCACCATTTCGCGCTTGTCCATCGCGCCGACCTTGAACGTACTGTGGGCCGTCTGCGCCGCCTCCCACTGGTCGACGTCGGTCGTAAACTGCTCCTTGTCCTTGTCCTTCGCCGCCTCCTCGTACCGCTTGTAGAGCACGCTCTCTTTGCGCTTCTTGTCAATTTTGCCCTCGGCGGTGAAATAGTCCTCAGGGAGCTGGTAGCCATCGTAGCCGTCGTCAAGCTTGAGACGCTCCTCGGCAAGGCGAAGGACCTCCTTCTTTCGTTCGAGCGCCTCTCGCTCGCGTCGTGTGATTTTCATCCCGCGGAAGAGTGCCTCGTCGTCCGCAATCTCACGCCGAAGAAGCTCGAGCCGCTGCGCCTCCCGCTTCTCGAGGTACTGGTACCGCGAGCGTTTACGGAGGTCGGGGAGCGCAGCGTCGCGGGCGGCGGCGTCGTCTGCTAACTGTCGCCGGCGCGCGGCCTCGGCGGCTTCGCCCTTCGACGAGCGGTCCTCGACAAGCTTCTTCGTTGCGGCCTTGTCGCGTTCGCGCACGCGTTCGGCGAAGGCATCACGCTCCTTAAGGTCCTCCAATCGCTCACGCTCTCTCCGCGCGTCTTCGTCTTCTTCGTCGTCGAGAGCCATGAGGTCGGAGGGGGGTGTGCGTCGATCGCGGTCGTCGTACGAGTCGGCTCGCCGTCGCTTGCGCACCTGTGTATCGTCGTCCTCGCCATCGCTCTCCCAGCGCCCCGCGTCCGCCTCGCGCTTGCGCGTGTGCCGCTCCTTCTTTCCGCCCTCCGTACGCTTCTTCTTCTCCCGTGGTAGTTCTACCACGTCCTTGCCCGCGTCGTCGTCGTCGAGCACGAAGGAGTACTTTTGGGGTTGGAGGGAGGGGGTGTCTTTCGCGGCGGAGGACTTGTGTTTGTGCTTGTGCTTGCGAGGGACGCGGGAGTAAACCTCCGAGACGAAGGCGTGCGAGGATGGTGTGTCGGGTAAGCCGGAGGCGTTGAGTGCGGCAAAGAGAGCTTCAGCCGACTTTGAAGACGATGCTGGGGAAATAATGAGGGACATAGGTGATTGGTAGAATATATGCAAGCGTACCAGACGCGATGACATAGTCGACTATGCTCTTGTCGGCGAGTCCGAAGAACTGTGTGACTGGTCAGCATATCCTTGACGTTGTCAAGCATGTCAACGACGTACCTCGAGAGCATTGTCGCTGATGTAGCGCTCGAGGTCCGAGGCCATCGCGGTGGACGATGGCGGCGTGAGCGAATGAGTCGGGTGGCAGCGTCGGAGATTACGCTCCCACCGAGATCGGCTTTCACAGGGAAACGAAGGCAGAAGAACAACGACCCAGGAGAATGCGCTCGCCCTCTCCTCTTCCCCCGCCTCCCGCCCGTCCATGGTAAGCTCGTCGTCTCCGCCGTCCCTGACGACCCAAGTCCGTGGCTGACGACGACGACGACATCGATGGCGACCCCACAGAGCACCGGCGCCACCCTCTTCTACGCGCGCGCGCTGTACGACTTCGACGCCGCGGACCCGTCCTGCATCTCGTTTCGCACCAACGACGTACTCGAGATCCTCCGCACCGACACCGGCGCTGCCAACTCAGATGGCTGGTGGGACGGCGTCCTTGGACAAGAGCGTGGCTGGATCCCGTCCAACCACGTCGTGCGCATCGACCTGCCCCCGCCTGCCCCCACCACCCAACCACCCCGACGGCCCTCTGTCGATACCACAGCTACCACCATCGCAATAGCGACCGCGAACGCGAACGGCAATGTGAACAGGCTCGTATCGGAGGAGAGCGCCCGTCGCCCGTCGCCGAGCGAATACTGGCTCCCGCAGGTCGACGGCTCTGGCCAGGTCTTCTACCGCAACGAACGCACGGGCGAGCAGTCGGCCGTACTTCCCACCTTTCCCGACAACGGATCGCCGGTCTACGATGGCTCCTGGGCCGCGATTGACTTCACCGCCCGCGCTTCTCCCTCACCTTCCCGCGAGTACCAACAGCACGCCGACGACCCCGGCGCATCCACCTTCCTGACTGTCGACGGCATCCCGCTGCCGAGCTCTGCAGGCAGTGTCCGCCCGCGACAACTGCACACACCGTCCGGCTGGGTCCGCCGCGTTGCGAGCGACGGCACCACTCCGTATTACCAGAACACTGCCGACGGGAGCGTGCAGTGGACTCGACCCAACGGTTCCGAGCACGAATTTGGATACGGAGACTACGATTATGACGATGACAACGTTCGCACTGCGGTCCCGCCCAACGCCCGTACGCCGCTGGCGGGCACGAGCAGCGGCGCACTGTCTCCGAACGGTGGCGGCACCGGAACCTTCCTCCTCCCGAACAACGGCACCTTCCTCTCTCCCTACCCGGTTGACCATCTTCCCCCGAACTATGGCGATCCGCCGCATAGCGGCTCCGGCGCCGACCTCGCAGCTTCCTTCTCTCTGCCCCCCTCTGCTTCTCCAAGCTCCCACTCCGGCCCGACCTCTGCTTCATCCTACTCCACCTCCGACAAACCCAGCGTAAGCACCCGTCCGCTCGTCGCCGCGAACCCCGACGTCCACGCGCCAGCGCCTGCTTACGCGCCCGCGCCCTACGTTCCTCAATCGTCCTCCGCGAGCCTACCCAATCCTGCCAACGTCTCATCTTCATCTTCGTCTGCAAACTATCTCTATCCGACAGACGAAAAGCGTCGCTCCTTCACTCAGCAGTATCAGCCGCCGACTCCTGCACCTGCCAGTGCCCCAGTCTCTGGCCCGTCGTCCTATTTCCCTGACCCGCATGCTACTCCCGAAACTGAGGGGGACGCGCTGTCTCCGCCTCCGCCAGCGTATCACTACGCTGCAGGCCCTCCCACCGCTTTCCCGCTACTCCAACGGCCGCCCACGCCTCCACCGGCGCCGCAGCCAAGCCTAGACGATCTCGTAGTGCGTGCGCGAGGAGCGCTCGATGCCGTCACTGCTCTCTTCACCGATTCTCCCAATGGAGGCGCCGGCGATAATCCCAACCTGGACGAAGATGACCCACCGCCATACGACGCGACCGTCCCCGAGGCGCTCGCAGAGCTCAGCGCCGCGCTTCGCGAGCTATTCTACACCACCGCCCTCCCCCTCTCAGACATCCCGCCGGCGCTCTCACCTACCGCATCCTCGCCCGCGTCTTCGCCGACCTCCTCCCGCCCGCACTCCCACACGCACCAGCGTTCATCCATCTCATCCTCCCATTCCCACACACACGGGGGAATATCATCGCACATGAGCAGCCGTGCACGGATCAACGATCTCCGGCTGCGGCCCGCACAGCGTAAGGTCACCTCAGCGCTCTCCAAACTCGTTCTTGTCGCGCACTCCGCTAAACCCGGCGGGAGCGCCAGCACAGGCCTCGCTAATGGCCTCGCCGGCATCGGACACGCGCGCCTCCGGACGTACGCCGCCGAGGTCCGCGCCGCGCTCGACGCATTCGTGGCCGAGGTCCGGGCGCAGCGCAACCAGGACCCCGAGCCCGATCAGGACCCAGAAACCGGGTTTGGGCGCCGGTTGCAGGGCACCCTCTCGCTCTCGCAGACGGGACCGAGTCCGTCACGCGAGTTCGATTGGCTCGCGCCGCTGGATGATAACGATGCGGCGCGACGGGCGCTTGACGAGGAGGTGGTGAGCGAGCTGAAGGCGCGGGCAGGCGAGATGAAAGACCACCTCGAGGCCTTCGAGAGGGACATCGGTGCAGGAGACCTTATCGGTACGTTTGACTTGGCCTGATTCTACAAATGCGCCTAATACGATGTCCCTGGTTCTAGCCCTCCATCTGCACATCAAGAAGCTCTTCTCGTGCTGCACCGGCTATATCGACCTGTGCGCGAACATTCACGTTGCACCCGCGGTCCAAACCGATATGGAGGGCACTCTTCCGCTCATCCCGCCCGCAGCACTCCCGGCGTTCACCGCGCACATCCTCCGCGCGAACGAGACCCTGCTCGGGCTCGAGGGTGCACTCGGCGCGCTTCGGGCGGACGCCGCTGCGCTTTTCGTGATGATGCAGACGGGCGTATGCTCCCGCCCGTGCGATGGCGGCACGCTCGACGACGCCGATGCCACGCGTGATTCACGCTGTGCTCGTGCCGCACGGTTGATTGCGTCGCTGAAGGCGCTTCCCGGCGTGGTGAACGCCGCGTTCGCAAGGCTGCTCGACGCCGGGCGCGAGCAAGCGCTCATTGCGCGCGGGGCGGGGCACGCGCCCAGTGCGCTTGGAGCGGAGCTCGAGGATGTTGTCGACATGGAGCTTGCGCTCGCGACGGGAGCAGGGCTCGCGCCGCCGCCGCCGCTACGCGAGCACGTACTGCGGAACCAGGTCAGCGACGCGTGGATACAACGACACACGGACGAATACGAACGCGAGCACGAGGTGATGGAGCGGGAGAGGAGGGCGCGGCCGGTGAGCCAGGGCGCAAGGGCAAGCGTAGAGGATGAGGGCACGGACGAGAGTGCGGGGGTGGGGAGCAACGTCAGCCATGTGGACCTCATGCTGGAGAGTGAGGTCGGCCACGGATACTCTATGGAAGTGGCGGGCCCGAGCGTACCGAGCGTGATCGATATACGGCGTGAGGAATACGAGGACGAGCCGCAGCCGCGCTCACCGTCATCGCCGTCCGATGTTGACTCGGACAATCTATCGCTCTTCTCCGACTCGGACTCACTCACAGGCGGAAGCAAGGCTGCGCAGGATAAGGCTGCGCACCGGAGCACGAAGCTGATGTGGTTGATCGGCGCCGACGCGCCACGGCATTATCTGGACTCGATGGACGAGGCGGACAAGCCCTGGTACTTGCGCCCGACCGCGGGTCCGAACGAGATACAAGTTGATCCGGATGGTACAGTCCGGGGTGGGACCATACCGGCCTTGGTGGAAAGGCTAACGACGCACGAGAAATCTGGTAGGTGACATTCCGAAACATCTTGGTCGTACGCTTATGCAGAAACGACGTGTAGACATCAAATTCAATCAGGCTTTCCTGATGACATACCGGTCCTTCATGACGCCGGATGAGCTCTGCGACCAACTCTTTGCGCGATTCGCGATCACGCCGCCGGACGAGCTTAACCCGAAGGAGCTCGAGGAATGGAACATGATCAAGCAGCATATCGTCCAGACTCGCGTGCTAAACACGCTTCGGACGATGGTCCTCGATGAAGAGCTCGACCCCGAGGGTGAAGATGCAGAAATGCTGGAGAGGATCAAAGCGTTCGCGAACAGCGCTTTTGCGAGCAGTGAGCAGCCGTCGCAGCAAGCTGCCGCGAAGGCGCTGGGGAATTTGACCGAGCGTGTGGTAAGCAATTGCATCTACCCACGCGAATTCATCTTAACACCCTTGTAGCAACACGGATACTCCCCTGTTCGCAAAGTTGTATCCACCGAGCAGCCTCCTCAGCCGATCGTTCCCAGATCCGTCAACAGGAAGCTGCTGCCTACCGACATCGATCCATTGGAATTGGCCCGTCAGTTATCCATCATAGAAAGTCAGCTATTCCAGAAGATCCGTCCGGCGGAGTGCTTTGCTCGAGCACAGGGGAGGCATCGTACGGACGACAATATTGCAGTGCTGATCAAAACTTCGAATCGGGTATGTGGTCCCATGCGATCAAGTCCGATGCCCTACAATCCATCATCTCCTTCAGATCGTCAATTGGTTGGCCGATTGCGTTCTCGGCAAAGAGAGTCCTGTACAACGCGCAGCGGTCGTGAAGCATTTCATCAACGTCGCTGACGTGAGTTCTCGCTACCTATAGCCATCAACGTGCTCGTATTCATCGTCGGTGTCCTCAGAAATGCCGCGAGCTAAACAACTTTTCGAGCATGTGGGCCATTGTCTCCGGCCTGAACAGACCTCATATCCGCCGATTAAAGCGTACCTGGGAGCACGTTGATAATCGCACAACGCAACGGTTTAGGGCTTGCGAGGCCCTCCTCGACTCCACACTCAACTTCGAGAATTATCGCATGGCCTTGCATAACGCCAGTCCTCCCGGCGTTCCTTTCTTTGGTGAGTGTCCCACGTTCCTTCTATTGAACGTCTCGCTAATCAATCATACAGGCCGATTCATGTCTGCACTCACCTTCATTGAAGACGGGAACCAGGACCGTCTCGGTGACGAGATGATCAACTTCGTCAAGCGCCAGCGCTCCGCGGACATCGTCACACGGATCAAGCTCTGGCAGTCGAAGCCCTACAGCTTCAAGCCTGTGCCAATCATACAGACTTATCTGGATGAGTCGCTGACGCGCTTTAGCGACGACGAACACTTGCGCGACTACTTTTGGAACCTCAGCCTCCGGCGCGAGCCTCGCGAGAGGGAGGATGAGCGCATGAACAGGCTTTTGTATGAAAGTGGTTTCTTGTAGGGATCTAGCAGGTGCTGATACGGTTGGTCCATCATATTCATCACTCTGTTGCTGTACACTTTCTTTGCTTTTCTGCTGTTTGAATCTTTCCTTGCCTTTTGGATCTTCGTGGGCCTTGGACGTGTATCCGTAGCCAATTGCAACGTACCATCTTAATTCCAATTTCAATATGCGTGGAATATATCATAGACACCCGGTACTGTGCGTAGAGGGGCTTTGTGGGCATCGCGGTCTTCCTAGTATGATCGAATTCACGTAACACAAACAACTACCTGTGGTGCAGATACAGGTGCTATTCTAGATCACTCAAAGTGCGCAAATGCGGCCGCGGGTTGAGGATCAGCAGCGCGCGTGTTCCGGGATTCGGAGTTGTGTGGTTCAACCGAGGTCCACACCTCATTAGATAGCGTTCCAATTAAGTACGAGAGCAGCCTCCGACGAGGGCGCATCATCCGGTAAACCGCGGTGGTGCAACAACAATCTACAATGTGGACGGTGACTGGCAGTGTCATCAGCGCCCAATTCTGGACGCATATCGCCGAACACATCCTCAATCCATGGATTTAGGATGTGTTCGGCGATATGCGCTTTTGCGGTTATAGCACATCTAAGTCAACGTCCGGAGTGATACGACTGAATAAACCGCACAGGAAGTAGACGATTCGGGGAGCAAGTTCGACGATGCACAGATGATGCCCTCAGAATTTGCATTTCTCGATAATACGGTGCATATCAAATGTAGCAGGGTCTATCGGCTGCGTTCTGAGCAGCCTGCTTTCCTGGAAAGTGCGTTAGCGCCGGCGAGTGCACACCCTTCGGGCAACCTACTCCGCTGATTAAGCTCTGCGTACGCCAGTCCGTCTACGCCGAGATTCCCTTGGGCTACGTTGACGTGTCGATCCGCCAGCTCGTGCAGAGCTTCAGTTGTGAGGCCATTTTCTTCCGGCTCAACGAGGCCCGGAACCCCATAGGCGCGCATGAGCTCGTTGGCTAGAAAGAATGCTGCTCACCTGCGCGTCAGCGATCCGCACTGCATCACTAGAAGATGTCACGAACCAGTGCGTTTATTGCCATCAAAGAATGGATGCCCTTCAAAGCAGCAGCATTGATATGAAGCACGGGTTGCGATCACCAAGAGCCCGTACGTACCTTGGATGATTCCGTAGGCGAGAGTAGCCGCTAAGTACGTCAGAGGACGCTCGGGTTCGTACGTGGCGGTCATAACCGGCCGTGCAAGCGCCGAGGCCAACTCGTTAGGTTTGACGACAGTAGACGACGCAGGATAGACAATTTGAGCGTTCATCCTTGCGGCATAAGTTGGACTGAATAATCGGGATATGTGGGATATCCGTCCTGCCGCGGCCATTGAAAAGGTGCGGCGAGCCTAGACCGAGCCAAGCCCGGTATGTATCCTTGCCAGGCGTACGCCCAGATGAGTAGCAGAACTGATACAACAAGGATGCGGTATTCGGAAACACGGGGAAATGCCTCCTCCAGATGTGAGCGCCTAAAATATCACATATATGTTGGAAGGCGACAGCACCTGCCGTCCCAGAATGGAAATGGGCGCTTACTAGAAAGTAAGCTTCGACACACAGGCTAGGAGCACCACCAAGTTATCGTAGTTATGTGAACCTAGCTCTAGATAGACTTCCTGGGCTTGTCATGGACAGAATGCTGTGCACTGGACGGACATGTACACCGGAGACTATACTGGTCCGTCTCTCTGTGGCATCATTCCGCGCGCTCTGGATCTCTGTGTTTCACGAATCAGAACTGCGCTTACTTGGCGATAGTCACCATACCCATGCACACGGACGGTCACGGAACCCCTCTTCAGGCCCATTGGTCGCGCATACTGCGGCATCTCCACCGTCCGGACCAGTCGGCACGGGATCGGGCTGCCCCGGAGAGCGGGTCCACCAATCGTTACTCCTGGCTTGTAGGGACTACCTGATTAGCAGCGTCACAGATCTCTGTTATATGCGCCAGTACAGATCCGGTGCATATCAAGGGAGGGATCCTTATTGTTACGATGGGTCTATCATGAGCTCTACAGACCTTTCATCCGGGGATAAGTCCTAGGGACATGGCTTCCACAGTTTCATCGTCGAACCCGCCGCCGGTCCTCCTTGCGTCATGCTGTGAGATTGACTCACATGAATCGTAACGATACGCCATGCCATTTAGTGCAAGATCCTGATCAACCCCCGCATCTCGCAGCGGGTAGTCACGGGTTTCAGCTATACAAGGCCGCCATCCCGCTCCATCTTCACCACCCAATCGGGAACCCCGGATGGGATTCGGGTCGCGTCGGGACCTCATTTTCGACCAATGGTTTGCAAAGCATTCCATAAGTTTCGTCCACCCTATTTAGCTGTCGCAGGAGGTAAGGACCTGAGAACACGGAACCGCTGCTCAACCCTCCTTTTTGTCTCTGATCCGTACTCACTTATCCTTATGATTAGGACTCCTATCGTCCAGTCTGTCGCTTTGTGTCGCGGTAGATTGGCGGCTAGGCCTCTGCTTGTGCTCCTATCGCGTCGGGTTATCAACGTTGCACGACCTAACTCGACGAGCGCTCTTCAGAGCAAGGGCCCCGTCGAGCCATCCCAGCACGGTGCTGAAGGCCTGCACAGACGTATGCTCACCAGATTTATTGCCGTGATATCAGCATATCTGACTATATCATCCTGCAGAGGATGCTTCTCCACCCCAAGACCTGGCACTGACAAAGCCGGACGCTGTCAGTACCGTCCCGAGTAAGATCAAAGGGGACTGGGTGTTGTTCCACCCGGTGTATACCCCGGAAGAGCTGAAGGCGGTCGAGGTATATATTCATTCAGTCATCATGCTGCCGAACGCACTAACAGTCCGGTGAAAGGTGATCAATCTCAGAGCCAAGACCCTGTCGGACAAGTTCGCCGCCCTCCTCGTCCGGGTGATGAGGACATGCTTCGATATTGCGTCCGGCTACAAACACAAGGACGTCCCTCCCGCGAGTACTCTCACGGTCGAGGAACTTCGGAAGCAGAACTACCTCATGGGTCCCGATCAATGGCTTCAGCGTGCCATGTAAGAACCCCTTATTACTGTATTACGCGCTGTCGCGCTGACACTCGACTTCAATAGTTTCCTCGAGACTATCGCCGCTGTACCTGGCATGGTGGCTGCTAGTATCCGACATTTGAACAGTCTACGTCTCATGGTTCGTCCTTCGGGATTCTCAATACCGTCGATTTCGTATCGACTGACGTGACTTTCTAGCGACGAGACTCTGGCTGGATCCACACATTGCTGGAGGAAGCTGAGAACGAGCGTATGCACCTCATGTGAGTACGACAATGTTATTGCGGGGGTATCATTCTGACATTCTTGAAGGACATTTATGGCGCTTCGTAGACCAGGTCTCTGGTTCCGAACTCTGGTCATGGGCGCGCAAGGCGTCTTCTATAACGTCTTCTGTGAGTTATCTCCACTTCCCCCGCGACGTGTACCGATCCTCTTGCAGTCCTATCATACCTCTTCGCGCCCAAAGTCTGCCATCGATTTGTAGGATACCTCGAAGAAGAAGCTGTGCTCACGGTACGTACTCCTCATTACTCGCCTGAGAATGTTCTCTTGATCTGCTTCCACAGTACACTCGCTGCATCCAGGACATCGAGGCCGGGCGCCTCCCGGAGTGGGCCGACATGCCTGCGCCATCCATCGCCATTGACTATTGGCGCCTCCCTCAGGACTCGAAGCTGCTCGACGTCATCTACGCCATCCGCTCCGACGAAACGAACCACCGCTTCGTCAACCACACTCTCGCTAACCTGAATCACAAGACCGACGTCAACCCTGTGTGTGCATTCGATATCTCACAATTGCTGGTTGTCCTGACGGCTGTTTCCGTAGTTTGCGTTCCGGGAGCCTGATATGACAGTCAAGGGGCGCAAGATAGCGTACGTCACAGCCCGTACGTTCCACAGAATCAACAAAACTGATGCCTCGAAATAGTTTCGAGAGAGTCGAAGCGGAGAAATACGTACAGGAGTCGCATGCTCTCCTTGAGGAGGGCCGGCACCAGTCAGAATCGAAGTGAAGGCTCAAGCCTTACGATTGTCTCCTTTTAGTATTTCCATGAGTTCGAATGCAGCTCATTTTATGGCCTCCCCAGCCTTGAAACGGACCTAATTTATTCGAGATGCAGAGAATCACAGCGATGCTGGACGGGGGGAATTTCTCAGTACGGCAGGGCTATCCGCGGCCAATAATCATGTGTATACATAGTGTACATCTACATTATCATCCTATCACCACTCGTACAACTTACTCGGCTGATGAATTCTGTATCGCGTGTGATCGTCTACAAGAAGGTCAGTACGACAAGTAATAACACTTCATAAATGGAACCGTCCCGGGTATGTGCGCGTTCTGGTTTGAAAACGGAAAGGAACGGTCGCAAACATATCCCAACCCTCACTGCGTGATCAATTTGTCCGCGACCTCTTTGATCAGCTTCTTCACGTCCGGCTTATGCACAATCTCTAGTTTGCCGTTCAGCACCTCGCGCACTTGGAACACTTCCATCAGCGGCGCGATCTGCTCATCATACACCGGCGAGAGGCGGAGCAAAAAAGCGAGACACGCGGTCAATCGGTGAACTGGTCACGGGGATTCGGTTAGCATGCTGGCATTTCAACTAAAAATCGGAGGGTCAAAGCGACTCACCAACGTCCTCGCTCTTATCTTCCCTTGACAGCGCCTCGACGACCGCGCTGACCATTTCGACCTCCCACTCGGGGTCCTCCTCATCTTCCGTAGCGCCCGTGCGTCCCCGCACGCGTTCTACCCGCCCCTTCTGCAACCACGCGCTGACATTGAACGCCAGACTCGCCGCGGCCGTCCTCACGGCCGCATCCTCGTGAAGCAGCGCGGGCACCAGCAACGCCGTCGTGCGTTTACGTGCGGAGCGACTGTCAGCGGCTCCTCCCTGGAAAGCGGACGAGGACGCCGCCGATCGTGAGAGAAGCAAGCGCCGGGCGAGTTGAGGGGAGGAGAAAGCGTTGGCCAGCATGCGTAGCGTTATGAGGATGTAATTCCGCGAATTGGGGAGGTCGAAAGCGGCGATGGCTTTAGTAGAGAGCACCTCTATCGGGTCCTGCGCGCCGGGAGAGAGGGCGGCAGCCCATGCGCTGACGGCCGGATCGAGCAACGCAAGGCGCCACAGGTCGACCAGCGGGAAGAGCTGGTCTATCGGAAGCTCCCGAGCCAGCATGGTCGTGAAAACTGCACAACCTATGAAGAGACCTTCCATGGCAGGGGGTGTGGTGTAATTCTTGTTCCCAGCGCGATTCTTCAAGTGGGTGATGAGTTTGGCGGTCAGGATGGACTTGGTTTGTGCCTTGTCAAAGGATGCAGGGGAGGCATCAATGAAAGATTCGAGGTTGGATTGGAGGGCGTCGAACGCGGGGATCTGGGTGAAGAGGATAGGGTTCAGAGAAAGGGCTTCGATCGCCGGTAGCGATAACTTTGTATGCGGATGAGCTAGGCGGTCACACTGAGACAATGATGCGGTTGACACACAAACGAAGGCTTACGGGGGAATGCTTGGAAGATCAACATGTCAACCTGCGATTGCAACTCCGATACATTGGCTCCTTTGAACTCGCCGACCTAACACTTTGGTGAGTATCCTGTTCGTTTGCCGAAAAAAACGCAGGACAAAGGTACACACCTTCTTGCCATCCAGGAAGAAAATGAATGTCGGGGTCACCCTCACGCCATACATGCTCCCGACTTGCGTGCCCATCCCGACCCCGAGATCAATCTTCGCAAACGCAACCTGCTTCTTCTCGTGTACGAGGTTTTCGAAGGTGGGTTCGATCATCCTGCACGGGCCGCAGGTTGCGCTCGTGAAGAAGGCCGCGACAGCACGATGCGTGGCAAGGAGGGAGTTGAAAGAAGATGGGTTGGTGCACGCGTGAATAGGCGCTGAGAGGGTAGAGGTGGAAATATTCCCGTTCCCGTTAGCTTGCTGTGGGTAGGGCTGTGAAGATGTAGGAGTGCTGGTGCCACTGCCCGACGGAGAGGGTTGTGTAGCTCGATTAGCAAAGGCCTGTAGGAGCGTTGATGCGAGCTGTGGGTTTGGAGACGCATTGATTGCTGCTTGTGGGGCGGGATTGGATACCGGCGCAGCTCCTTGTGCTGGACGACGGAACATTGAGTCTATGGTAGGACGGAGGGCAGCGCCGAATGGCGTAGAAAGGAAGTCGGCAGGCAAGTCTGCGGAGGCAAGGCTAGTTCAAACCAGCTGTTATACAGAAAGATCGGAGCATACCCTTTATCCAAGACGGTATGGAACCACCGGTGAGGAAGCCCACGCAGTCGTTCGTGAAGGAGTTGCAATTAAATTCTAAATATATGCGTTAATCGCTGTACCATCAACGTCCCTTTGGTAGCGACCAACCTAGCAGATGATACTGAGTGAGGTTCAGTATCATATTCCCGACGCCTTGGTCAATCAACGCACCTTGTCAGCAGTGTAATGTTCCCGCATCTCGTTCAGATACTCTTCGAAGGTATCCTCATCAATAGATGTCTCCCCCATGTCCAATATTTGAAGTGGCTTTCCGTGGTGGGACATGCCCGGTGAGGTGATGGATATCCCAGCGCCGTAGAAGATCTCCTTTCCGAAGACGACCACGGAGGTATGCCTGTTCTGTGATGAGTTGAACACATCGACAGCTTTCCCAGGAGAGATGGCACGGACCATATACCATCGATTTGTCTTCCTGTGAGTTGGAGCGAAAGAGCTTTCGCAAGGCCGTTACTTCGTAGCGCATCGGTTAGCCCGTTGTTTGCACAGGCAATGATGGCAATCATATACCTCAAGTCATATACGTATAATTGAACCGGGTGCCCCATCGATGACTACAATGTATGAAACTGGTGTCTAGATTTACAGAAAGCAGCTAGCAAACAGGATGGGAAGGCGCAGGAGAGCAGGTACACGAAAGCGTATGGAGGTTGGTCACTATTAGGGGCGGCAGCCGCGCAAGACGCGTCACCAACGATGAATTTGATTTTTCGCGATCATTCTGGAATCTGGATGTTCTGGATCTTCCACTGAGTAAGTAAGTTAAGTATCAAGTAGTTCGTTACCTACCAGTATGCGATAGTCCATATACATACATGAGTATTGATGCATTAGACTCGTCTGCCAGTCCCTCTGCACAATCCTAGGATGCGCGTTCAATGCTGGACCCGTCAAGTCGCGAAATCAGGCGAGAACAAAGAGTGGTGGAGTTAGCCTCGATTCACTACTTACTCCCCCTTCGAACCGAGGCGGCGGTTTCGAGCCTACTGATGCATGTGCGGCGGCACATATACACGAGCAGAACAACTCGGAGCCGAAGCCGAAGATACAACTCGGGCGAATAAGTATAGGCAAACTACAAGACGTACGTCTTAACATCGGTGACCCAACAAGAGCTATGGCTACGAACATCATAGTCGGGCGTGGATGTTTTCAGCCGTGGAAGTCTCGACACGCGTGTCTTGATGTTCGGATGCACGATCGTCGTAGAGACGACGTCTGTTAGAGTGCCACCACGCCATAGCCAGCGCCTTCTCCCTGTCACCGACCTCCAGTAATTGATTATATAGCGCTTCTATTAGCTCGGCCTTCGTCCCGTCGACGTTCGGTAAGGGAGCAATTATCGATCCGATGCTCTCCAGAACACCCCCCAGCAGAGAATAAGGCAGCGACGAAACAGTCGCAACGAGCGTGAGGTGTAGACGATGCGACGTCTGCTGTTGTCCCTGAGAACCCGAGGGCGACGATGCGGGCAGCGAGTGGATCTTCTCGAGTAGCTGATCGACGCAATATTGGGCGAGGATATCGCCCTTCGTGGGGGATGCACCGGCACCTTTAACCAGGGCAGCGTACGCCAGCCGCAGTTGCGCTATACTTAGCTGTCCCTCTGAGCAGTTCTGAGAAGACTGTAAGTAGATAGGCTAAAAGAAACGCGCAAGTGGCTACATACAGATAACAGACACTCCGAGTAGAAGGGGACAAGACGGTCTGCGAATCGTTCGCTTGATGGCTCAGAACTCGCTTGCGACGTCACCTCTGCGGGCGGCCGCCCACGAGCGGCAAAGATCGCAAGAGTCACAGAATGGGCTGCTTCGTAGATCTCCCGATGCGCGGAATCGTCGAGGTAACTTCCGGCAAGCGACGTCAGCTGCGATTCCGGCGGGCGGCTGGTTTCACTCACGGGAATGCGACAGGGAACACTACATCTTGCAAACTCTCATCAGAGAGCGCTGGTACTAGCTGCTCCAGCATAGCGAGCACGAAGGCCGCCCGCTCCCTCGGTGTACAGTCCGAAGATACTCCTACGGAAGATGATTCCTGAACTCAGCCTTGGGATGAGGAAGGAGGAAGGATAGTCGCCACTAACCGGGTTCGGCCATGGCGCGGGCAAAGGCTTGACTTTCCGCCGGATCCGTCGCCAAAATGTCAAGCGCGAGATACACCACCTTCTTCAGCTCCGCAAACCCGCCCTGTTCCGAGGTGATGCCTCCGAATTGAGAGATGACGAACGAGAGGTTACCGAGAGTCCGCAGAGTGGACGTCGCAAGAGCCAGGGAAGGTGGTGTCGGGCGTTGGAAGTTTGAAGAAGACGAGGACGAGGACGACGGCGGGGTGTACGTTGCGGACACGAGCACGGCGTCGGAAATCATGACGACGGAGAAGAGGAGAGTCTTGAGAACGGTCCAAGCCGATGTTGCCGCTTCACGTGCATCAGGAACTATGATGTGTGTGCATGAGGGACAAGGCGTTGAATGCGTATTGTACGGCCATACCAGCGTTCTGGTGCTGCGGGTTGGTCTGAAGCACAATATTCCGCCAATAAGCGTCGACCTGTTCCGTAGCAGACCGGAATTTGTCGATAACATGAGCCATTACGCCCCACGACGTTTGTGGGCGGGTATCCGCAAGAAGCGAGATCGAACGCGCGCATAGTTTTGACAGAGGTGCAACTGCGGCGAACTCTGAGCTAGATAGCAGGCGCCGGGCCTCTTCCGTTGAAAGAGATGCTGTCTGCAAAGGTCCGTCAACACTGACATCATACAAGGATCAAATGGCATACCCTTGTGGCAGTTGCAGGCGTTCGGCTGGAAGCGCGAGGAAGCGAGGCCATAAAATGACCGGATTGAAATGCGGATATTATCTCGGAGGATGTCAGGTCGGCAACCACCTGTATGCACTAAGATTGAGAACGACGCTTTAACAAGCAAAGCACAACGTACATCCAAAGGCAATGCCGTCATCTTGCGAGACGAGACCAGCGGTAAAGACCGGCAGGCTAGGGTAAGCGCCTTACGCGATACGTCTGTGTTTGGCGCATCTCCGTAAGCTCGCTCGTTATGCAGAGCGTGTGGACCGATTGCACTCACCCGAACTACCCGCCCAAGCATCGTTTGATGGACTCTGGTCGATGGCAGCTGCGAACGCCAGCACGACCTCTGCCTCAGATCTTCCACGAGCACCGGATCCGTCTCCCCCGAGCTGGACCCTGGTATCGTCCAGACCTTGCAACAAGCCCCCGGCGCAAGCGAGGCGCAAGAGCGGATGGCCGCCTTGCAGACCGGCCAGAGTCGCCTTCGCCCACGTGTTCATCCTCGCATTGGTACCGGGCGAGAATACCCCACCGTGATCGTTCTCGGCGGCCTTGTATTTGAGGTGGACGGCATGCCGAAATGCAGTCGAAAGCGCGTCGAGTTGGGTCTGCTCGCAGGCACGGAAATACGGGCTGGAGACGACAATCGCTGCGAGCGGGGTGGGGGCCGGTTCGAGGCTCGCAATGTAGTGTGCTACCGCCGCCTGGATCGCTGGTAGCGCTAGCTTTGTCGATGGATCGTGCAAATGAGCGAGCAGGTTTCGGTAGTTGCGGTCTGTGGCCATCGCGGAGAGAGGAAGTGTGGGGAACCCCCGGGTGCGGGTTAGGGTTTGCTGTCTCGTATCACATGCTGGCACGTTGCTGGCACGCATTCACGTCGTAAACGCTCATACTAAACCCATGGTCACCTTGTCTATCTAACTTGCATGCGCGCTGTAGAGCTCGAGCGCACCGGCACTCCACGCGACGAAAGAACAGCATCCATTCACACGGTCTAGCAGTCAATGCATCCTCCCTTGGCAACTTTATCAGCACCCCCAGTCGTCCCCACTCCGCTCGATGACCCCCCCACATGAAAGAACGTTGCTCTGAGCGAGCCTCGGAAGTCTCTGGCGTATGTCGACGATCTGGGCTATGCGCGAATACCCTTCCGTTGTTATCGACAAAGTAAGCATATCGCGATCGTTCTTTCGTGAGGGAGAGGGAGAGGGAGGGGCGCGAGACGGGGTGCGTGCATGTCCATGGGGAGACGGGGCGGTTGGGCGAGGGGTTCGTGTGCGGGGTGAGGAGCGTGCGGAGGGGAGAGGGAGAAGGGGTAGGAGGAGGCGATGAGGAGGGAGGTGGGCGAGTGGCTCGTGGATGGGCCGTGATCGATTTCGCGACGAGAACGACGGCGGCGGCGGATACCGTATCGTGCAAGCGGATCAGGCATAGCAAATAGCGGTTAGCGCTCATCATCGTAGATCATGGATCGTGGTGACGGCGTGCAACGCTCCATGCATAATATGTCGAGGTGCGACCGGGGGGGTACGATGACATGTGAATGGGCGCCCGAGGCATCTCCTTGGAGGTGGGCTTCCAGCGATGCCACTTCATTCATGTACTGGTCGCGATGTTTTTCATGGAACGGTTCATCTTGTAACGACTCGAGCTTGCAAGTAGGTAGGTAGGTATGACGCGCGGCCAAGCTCCGTGCGTAAGATGGGAAAGGTGCACGAAGGGAGTATATAAGGAACACCAAGCCGTGTTTGGGTTTGACCGGAGTTGAGAGCGAATCAGGAGGACACCATCTGCAATCTGCTCGATGAAGTGACGTCGTGCGAGCTCACGAGCGTGCCTTTGCCCGCCGACGCCCGTCCGGACTCGAGCGTCTCCTGGACTTCAGCCTGAAATGATAATGGCTATGTCGCATATCCGCGCGCCGACGGCCGAACGCCGTGGAAGGTCCACGAACAACAAAGCGTCAGACGGTATAATTGTATCTGGCCGATCGTGCCCAGGGCGCGCCGTGCATAATGTCATGGCCATGATGGCAATCGTCAAGGGTTCTCGGAGGCCCTGGCAGACAAGGCACAACGCCCCCCCCCCCCCATCGTCGGATATAGCGCACCGTCCGGATCCCGGGAGGAAGGTGGCTTTCCGCGTTCATTTTTGGCGTTTAGTGTTCATGGTTCATTTTGCGTGGGCGATGTCCGTGTATGGAGTGCTGTTATGTTACCCCCGGCACGAGGCTACGAGAGGGAAACGCGATAACAGATCCTTTGAAACCCCCGACCCTGCGCTGGGACCCGCATGGGCGAGGGAAAAGACCGGCGAGCCAGCGGCCACCGCGCGTTATAACTGACAGAGGCAGCTTCCGCGTGCGACGCGGGGGAAATTTCACCTGAGTTTTTTTGGCGTCACCCGGTGCAGCACACCATCGGCCCGCGGTCTGGAGCGCCGACGCAACTCGGGCGACGGGCGTTGGACGCCGTGGCGAGGTGCGGTTGCCGATGTGAAGTGCGCCCGGACCCCGGGCACCGCTGGCGGTGGGTTGGCTAGGGGTTTTTTTTTCGCTCGTGCCGATGACGAGTGGGGCCGTCGTTATGCGCTTTGGAGCGCGGTTTGGCGCTGGGTGATGTCGGTGGATGACGCGACGCGCGCTCGTTCGACGTGAGAGAGAGGCGAGGAGAGGCACGCGGAAGCATCAGTGATGTGATACTTCGTGTCAAGGGATCCAGTCGCGCTGAGCTGACGGTTTGGATCGCATTTGCGCTGTCCCTGTCCGAAAAGCCTGCCGGGGCCGTTTAGGTTGGCGCACGCCACGGTGGGCACAAGGCTAGCTGAACGCGGACGGTGAGCTCGACATGTCCGCGCGGGTTTACGCAACACAACGGCGGGAGAGGAATGCCGCGAAGTGGATGGAAGGAACACTTCGGGCAGAAGGGATGGGTCTGCGTTCGGGCGGGGGCAGAGCGGAGTGCGAATGGGGTGTCCAGGGGCCCCGCGGTCCCTGGTGCGAGAGATGGCGTTGGGCAGGGCAGAGCGGGACTGCTGGTCTCTCCTGGGTTTTGCGCGCTGACGCCGGGCACCGTCCTCCTCCGCCGTGCAGAGCTCGTCCTCGCCCCTCACCCGCTCGCGCTCCCCCGCCGCAGGATAATGGGCATTGGTCCCCTCCTCGACCCACGCACACACCCACTCGCCCTCGCTCTCGCACGCTCATAGTCGATCCTGCGCCGCTCCTCCCACCACCGAGCGCGCCCGCCCCGCTCCCCGACTCCTCCTCGCCCCATGACGCCAAACCCCGCCCTCAGCTATTCCATCACCGCGTCCGTGCCTTCTCGAACCGCCTCCGCCTCCGCCCGAGACCCCGCCCCAACGGCGCCCCCGCCAAAGCGGCGTCGCACCCACCATGCGGACGACGCCGGGCCCGCCCTCCGGCCCCGGCAGACGATAGTAGACCAGGACGCGGTCGGTACGTCGCGCGTCTCCTCCTCCTCCGCTGCACGCCCTCCTTTCGCCCGCCTTGGGTCCCCTCCCCCAACGACGCGTGGCGATAAACTTTTTCTCCCCTCCCCTTTTTTTCATTTTGGCGGCGGTGCTGACCCGACGCCCCCATCACGCAGAGGCCGCCAAACAGAAATGCGAGATCGACTCTGGCAACGACGTCGTCTCCTGCTTCCCGACCGGCGGCGAGTCGTTCCCCCAGCACGAATGGGCCACCTTCGTCTGTGAGCAGCCCGTTTTTCTCTCCCACCCCCGCCGTCGCTTCACGACCGAGACCCTAACCAATCGCCGTGCACTTTTTTTAGGGAACTCGCGCCGGCCCCAGATCACGCAGCAGAACCTCGTCGACATCTTCCTCTTCCGCGCCGACTCGGGCGACCAGATCTTGCACTTTGCCAACCAGCTCAACCCGTTCAGCTCGTTCCAGGCCGGCTCCGTCACCGCGCCCGTCAACGACTCGTGGTTCGGCGCCCAAGGCGAAAACTTTGACGGGACCAACACCTCTTTCCCCTTCTTCTGGGTCCTCGTACCCTCAGGGCAGCCCGCCAGCTCCGGCCAATCGCAGCCGATCTTCAGCGCCATCCGTGAGTTCGGCCCCCACGTTTTTCTTTCCCCAAACGCCCGACCTTTGCATGCTGATCGTGATCGGGAACGAACAGAAACGACGGTCTTGGACTCGGTCGCCTCCTCGCTCTCCTCCGCCTCCTCCCTCGCTTCGCTCTCCTCCGCCTCGGCCGCCGCGGCCGCCTCGTCCCGCGCGAGCGCGTCCGAAGCGACCGTCACCTCCACCGCCACGCGGTCGCCCGGCGCCTCGAGCTCGGGCACGGCGGCGAACCCCTCCGGCGCGAGCGGCAGCGGCGCCTCGACCGCCACGTCCAGCAGCGCCTCGGGCAACCTCCAGCACGGCGCGGGCGGCGGGGGCGCCTTCCCGCACTGGGCGATCGCGGTCATCGTCGTCCTCGGCTTTTTCGCGATCCTCGCGAGCGTGATCGTGGCGTGGCTGCTGCTCAGGCGGATGCGGTCGAGGAGGCGGCGGACGAGCTCGGCGGGCCAGTCGATGAACTCGGCGTCGCCGATGATGGCCGAGGCGGCGGGGCTCGCGGGCGCGGGTGCGGCGGCGCGGTCGCCGCCGACGACGGAGGAGATGGTCGCGACGACGGAGGGCGGGGTGACGGACCCGCTCGTGCGCGCGCCGAGCACCGTGCCCGGGGACGGCGCGTCGGAGATTTCGCGCGCGCATTCGGAGAGCTCGGCGAGCCCGTTTAGCGGCGCGGACGCGGCGATCATGGCGGAGGCGTTCAGGAAGGCGCTCAGGAAGCCGGATTTCGCGGCGCAGACGCTGGAGGAGGGCGAGAGCCCGGATTCGTTGGGCGTCGTCGGGCCGAAGGAGGGCGAGTTGTTGAACGCGCAGTTGAAGGAAGAGGGGAGGGATATCAGGAGCGTGGGGTCGTCGAGGGGCGTGAGGGTGGAGAATCTGGGCGAGGGTGGTGGGCAGGGCGGCGAGGGGGTGTAAAGGGCGGGGGTTTTTTTTCCTTGACTCGTCCCTTTTTTCGCCTCTCTCCTTCCCGACGTTGCCGCCTGCTTGTTACATCGTCTTCGCCATCTCTATCCCTCGTTCTCTCTCTCTGGGACTCTCTGTAGGGTTTATCACCGACCTCGCATTCCCTCCTCGTCTATCTATGCCTCCCTCCTCCTCCCCACCGCTTCATCGTGATCCTCTCGCTATTCCTTCCTTCCACCCCCGTTCGGTCCGCTTTTCCGTCATTATCCTTATTCGTCCGGTTTCGTCCCGTTCCTCCCATCAGTACGACCACCGACTCTGTCCCCTTCCCACCCCCGCTTTCAAGTTCTCCACGCCTCGCAATTGGCCGTCGTACGCGTCATCGTTGTTACCGTCGCGCCGCTCGCCGCACCCCCTCAAAGTTGCCTAAATGAATAAAGCCAAACCCGTTTATTTGTTTCGCCCTCGCTCGCTCGCCGCGTTCGTCGTCGTCATCGCTGGGCCGGTCTCCGGGCACAGCCCAACATCACCCTCCTCCCCCCTCGCTGGGCCGCGCCCTTCCGCTCTCTTACCCAATCGCAACACGCGCAATAGCACACCCACGAAATCGCCATCTTCCCCCCTTGCATTCTGGCAACATACAGACAACAGGAACGAGAACGCCCAGACGGTTGATCAAAGCCACTCTGGCGAACCGGTGGAGCAGCGCGGTGACTGACCCCCTCCCTGCCCCCGGGGAGGGTAAAGCGGGTCACCGGACGGCGTGCGCGATGGAGCGCGGGCGTAACTTCGCTCTCGGCGACCGAGTTTCCTAATCCGACCCAGAGCACGCACCCTTGCGCGCTCGGCCCACGCTCCTTTTTCTCTCTCTAATGGGACTCTCCCGTCTGCCCGGCTCTGCCGCCCTGTGCCTCTCCCTCGTACAGCTAGAGAACACCCACACCAGGCTCAAGTACTATATCCGAACAGCGTGCCCACCCCCCGCTTTTCCCGTCTTCCCTCCTCCATCTTTTCCCGCTTCCGTTTTTCTTTCTTTTTTCTTCTTTGTTTTCTGACCTCCCACTAGCTTATCTTCTGTACGCAGCCCCACGAACATTTTTTTTTTGGCTCCTACCTTTCGTCGTCGTCCTAGTCCTATAAACCCCGCCCTCGCCCTTGCCCCGCCCGGTCATCAATGTATGCATCTCCCGTATATATAGAGCAAACACCTTTGGGACTTAAGTACGCCAAATTTTTTCAATTCTTAAGTATAGCGCGTTCCCCCCGTCCTCGGCCTCGCGGGAGTCTCGGGGCAACACATTCTCGGTGTAAATGGGGCATAGAAGCGATCCGAAGGGGTGACTGAGGGGGTGAATCCGAACTTGCGCGAATGCGGCGATAGAGCAAGAAGATGATGATGAAGGGCGGCTAGCTCGGGAATCCGGGATGTAAGCGCAGATCCGGAACCTATCCCTCTCTTGTTCGCCTTCGGGGGATTTTTCTTTCTTTCTTTCTTATTCTCGTGCTCTATCGGCCGGGCGGCGGGTTACGGCGTTTGCGTCTGTGTTCAACAGGAATTATTTTTACAGACGAAGAGCTATGTATGTAGCTGTAGCATTGCCGGCTGGAAGGTAGTGTCAAGTTCTAGATACATTTCGGGGGGTAAAGAAAAAGTCAGGAAGACGGGATAATATAAAGAAGAGGAGGACCGGAATTACAAGGTGAAGGGGGCAGAGGCAGAGCGTGTGTAGAATACAGTGTGGGTGTGTGTGGGTTTCGTATGACGGTGATATGTGTGCGTGCTTCGAGTTGCTGTTCCCCGCCCGTTAGGTACGTGTTGAAGTGTCTTGGGGTGGAGAGGAGGGAATGTTGCGGTTTTTGGCGGGGGAGGTTGACCGGCGCTATGCCCGGTGCGAGAGATGGCGCATCAGGAGCTCGTATCTGCGTGCGACGATGATCAGCGACGGACGAGGGTGAAGGGATGTGGGACGTGGGGACGTGGGGACGTGGACGTACGTGAGCATGGTGACGGCGCTGTTGGGTACGGTGCGGATGAGGTTGATGGACAGGCCGCGGTAGAGGCCGCGCCAGCCCTCTTTGGTGACGACGTCCATCGCGGTGCGGAGCACGCCCGGCGTGCGCGCGGGCGTATCCAGCTCTCGCCGGTGGATCTGCAGGCGCGTGCGGATGACCTCGTGCGGGTAGGTCGTCACCGAGGCGACCATCTTGGCCGTGCCGGAGCAGAGCAGGATGGCGCCGCTGGAGAGCGGCTCGGACGAGCCGCCGTCTGCGGCGGGGCGGGGGGTGTGAGCGGGAAAGGTGGAGAGCTAGAGAGAGCCGGAGGACTTACGGGCGAGGATCTTGAGCTGCTCGTACAACGGGAACTGGACGGCGACGTGGGCGATGCCGAGCAGGGAGGGGAACAGGCCGCGGTAGAATGCGCGCCAACCCTCCTGGCGGTAGATCGTCAGGACCGCGTCCAGCGTGTGCCGGTATCGGACCTCATCCGCTGACTGCGTCTGGAGAGAGGAAGATAGGCGGTATGTCAGGGACGGCCCGAGAAAGAGAGAGAGAGAGATAGGGCGGCGCACCATGAAGCGCGTCTTGATCACCCACATCGGGTTCGTCGCGAACGTGCTGCACGCGCCGGCGGCCATGGCGGACAGGATGTGCAGTGCCCAGGGGTGTTCCCGCCCGTAGGGCTGGTACCCCTTCGGCGTCGGGGCAGGGTATATCGGCGCCTTGCTCTTCTGCTTCTGAAAGCCTTCTGGCGTCTGCTCGCCGAACCGGTTCTTGATCCCGTCGTAAACCGAGAAGTAGATGGCCCACGTCGGGAGGTAGCCCAGTATCGTGGGCCCGAGGCCGCGGTAGAGGCCTTTGATCCCGTCGCGGGCGATGATCTCCTTGAAGAGTCCTGCAGAGGTATACGGGGTGTTGTGAGGATGCTCGTCGAAAAAAATGCGAGGTTAGGCGGACGGACCGGCGACGCCCAGATAAGATCGCGAGCCGTGCCTGGCCCGTTGCGCTTGAAGCTTGGTCTTGAGCACGTCTAGGGGACATGTCGCTACGCTCGCGACGAAACCTGCTCCTGCACCCGCTTCAAAGCATACACGAAGAGAGAAGGGGTTTGAATCAGCACACAGAGCCGCGACTGTACGGAACGCTAAGGCGGCGAACACTCACATATGATACTATCGTTCAGTCCCCATTTCCGGTTCGCGCTCTCCGTCATGTCTCCGCCCTGCACCAGCAGGGGGATCTCGCGGCAGGGGCTCCCGTCAGGATGAGGAGATAGAGCAGGACGAAGGGGTCGTTAACAAATTGGACGCAGGCTGCAGAGCGCGAGTGGTAAAAGGTTGATCAGCTTGGTGCCGGAGTCCAGCCGTGCCCTTCCGCGTAGTCCCGGCGGGCCCGCACCAAGGCCCGCACGCGACCGCTCTGACAGCCAATTTGTATTTCTATCTCCTTCCCCACATCTTGTGCTATGTATATTGCGCGTCGTATTCGCTCGAGCTCTGAACGTTACACAGGCGCCCTCGGCGCGCGAAGAAAAATATGATTGCGGGCCTTGTTGCCAGGTCTTGGACTGGAGCTTTGTCGCAACTGCAGACCGGCCGCCAGCGGACTCTGTGCTACAGTCAACAATCTACGGCCGCGGCCCTCCTGCGTATCATTCTGGTCACGCATTCCTTCAAAGTTCACAGCGCTTCGCGGATCCGGGGCTCGCTAACTCTGTGGCGGGGCCAAAAAATTGACAGAAAATATGTACGCTAAACGAATATTGTCCGACGTCGGCTAGCTCGCCTCCACGAACGCCCGCGGTATAAAATGCCAGCTCACTGCCCATCCGTCCATCAGCCCAGTCGACCGCCAGTGGAAACGTCCTGCCTCGCGCCCTCCTTAGTACCATCATGACCACCGAACTCTGGTTGACCTACGTGCAGACCTCGCGCGGGGACAAGCCGTGCACGGCGCAGCTCATCGACCTCAACGCGAAGGCGCGCAAGATGTGCGACCTCGAGGACCTGCTCGAGCACGTCTACGACGCCGGCTTCCTCGACCCCAAGTATCGGCCCGTAAGCTGGTGGGAGCGCTTTGACGGATCCAAGCTGAAGGGCAGCGCGACGCTGGAGGAGGTCGTCCACGAGGGCGTCGGTGTTTGCGAGACCACCGCTCTGCGACTCGTCATCGGTTCGTCTTCTTACATACACGACCTTTTGTGATGGTGTTGCTCATACGCCCTCTTCAGCGGACGCGCCCCCGGCAGTCTGGCTCTCCTATGTCTACCTTCACCACGGCCCGGGCCACCGCCACGCGACGCAGCGCATCAAGCTGCACGAGCCGACGTGCGCGGGCAAGCTCGTCTTAATCGCGCACCTCACGAACCACGTCTTCGCCAAGGGTTACCTGCCTTGCCATCTCCGGTCCAAGGTGTACTGGAAGGGACCCTGCGGCCGTCCGATCCACGAGCACGAGCGCATCGAGGACGTCCTCGTCAAGGGCGAGGGGTGTAAGGAGGAGAGCGCGCTCCAGCTCATCGTCGACTTTTGATGGGCCTCCTTGCCCTTTGGATGAGCGTGGTCAAGATTGGGACTGGAATTCCGCGGCATTGATAACTACGGCCTTCTCGGTCTTTCTCGCATTCCCTTGCTTCCTAGTTCAATTACTGTACCCTCGTCATTAATAGCTACCTAATAACAAGCGACATTACATCAGAAGGCCTCAGGATCTTTCCCGTTTTCCTCGCGGCGCGCACTGCGCAAGTTGCTGCTCAGTCGTACCAGGTCCACTATGGGGACCGCTCGAGTTCCGTCGTACCGCCAGCTGTCAGTGTGAGTACTCTCCCGGCTCCTTATAAGTAGAGTACCGCAACAGTTCGCTGCCACGTGTCTTCGACGCGCGAAGTTCCCTACTTGGAATGATATCTCCTCTTCCCATGGTTCCTCGGACCCTCCTCCGCCTTCATGCATACACATATGCAGCCCCTTGTTCACCGGTCGCAACGTGCACAAGTATAAAAACACACGGAGCCGTACGTAGCCCAGCGCTATCCCTAGCACCCAGCTCAACTTTGCACCTGTACCGCGTCGACCATGCCCGACACAGATCCGGACCACGACGATCTCTCAATGGACTTCGAGGGTCGATCTGATGAAGACTATGATACGGATGAGTATGATGGCGACAGCGACTCCGACATTTCCGTCGACGAAGACCAATCCGACGAAGATACAGGCGAGAACTACGTGACCCGAGAGGATATGTCTTTTCCGCGCCCCTTCCCTCCCGAGGTGATGGACCTCATCATTGACGAGACGTCGTGGGCCGTTCGCAAGGATCCATAGCGCGACGCCCTGGTATACAAAGCCTCATCACTCGTCCGCAAAGCGATGAGGTACCGCAGTCAGAAGCACCTCTTTGCGACCATCGTCCTCGAACGTATAAGAGACTTTTTCGCCCTCCGAGCAACCCTCGCAGCTTCTCCGCATCTCACACGCCACGTCAAGACCGTCTTTGTTTATAACGATTTCGTATGCGCAGCGGGGCGAATCGATCCGGCCTTTTTTAAGCGTACTACGGAAGCGTTACGCGACATATTCCGAGCATGCAGCAACATCGAACAAATCACGGCCATGCACAGTAAGGGTGACTTTGCCGACTTCCCTGGCCCGTGTCTCTGGGACCCTCATACGCTCTTCCCGCGACTTCATCGCCTCACCATCAAGGACTGCGCGCTATATTGCTACGACGACTTGGCAAGAATGCTAGCTCGCATGCCATCCCTGCAGGATCTGCGGTTGACCAGGACCTGGGTCCACTTCTCCCCCGAACGCGACGAGACGGTCGCGGAGCGAGAACACGCGCTTTGGGCTGATTCGTCACACCGTTTACGGCGCATGAAGGTGAAGGACGACTTCCCGATCGCTGGAACGGAATACGTCAGGACCTTTGCTGGCAGCATCCAACGATTGGACTGCTTCGACTGCTTTGTCAGCGATCCAGATCAGCATGAACTTCTCTGCGTTTTGTTAAACCCGGAGAAGGGTCTGCGGCAATTGACCCTCTCGATGAATTGTTCGGCCGACAACGCACTCCCAGATGGTGTGCAAAACTCGTTGCTCTACCTTCTCACATTGCGTTGCGTGCTCATATAAACCCCTCAGGCATGTTCGAAGACTATCACGCCCAATGCGCCGGTGCCACGCTGGAGGTGATCCAGTTAAAGCAACGTCCCTCTCTGCGCAGCGAGATTCCCAAGAGGCCTATTGCCGAGGGCTTGGGTGAACCGCTTCCTTCGGGCGATGTCGTCGAAGCGGATTGTGAAGGTGGTACTCATCGTCAAATATAGGGTGAACGAGGTTCCCTGGCCTGGATTCGACTGGTCAGCGGCGGACGACTTGCTGAGCTCAACAACGGATTATCCCGCCCTGAAGCAAGTCATGGTGTGCGACGACTTTGTGGTGCCGGATCTAGATCACGACGATTCCGATCTTCTTGCCTCTTATGCCAAAGCGAAGAACATTACGCAGAGCCTGGCTATCGACGTACGCCAAAGGCTTCCGATGCTTGCTCAAAGAAACGTTCTCTGCGTGGGGTCAGCAAGCGAGTGGGACGACTGGGGTATCGATAAATAGGGATTCCAAACAGCGCTTGCACATTCGATGGCCTATTCGGATTGGGACTACTATGGTACAGTATATTGGCATGTAGCAACGCTATACTCGGCCGAAGGAACGCGAAATATACCCCAGGAGATATCGTTGAGTGACCCGCACTCCTCCGTGTGCCAATCCCGGCTGGGCTCTGATCCTTCCCGACGAGGAGGTGCTGTTGGAGGCGAACGAGCAGTGGTGGTCCGATCTCGGGTAGTCTCTGTGACCTGATCGTGTGCTTTGTGCAATATATCTATCGGCTTGTGAGGTGTGCTATGTGGCCCTGTCATCGCGAGGACGCAGAGTAAATATCGGTGTGGGATGTCTGCAGCTGCACGCGGTTTACGTAAAAACGAGTACGTGGGTCGCTGCCCCCGCGCCCAACGTCATCCAACCAGACGCGATAAGTATAGGTCTCCCTCGACGCAGACGTCACGTACCCCATCTCTGCGCTTTGACGCCCGACGTTGCGCGTACGCCGTCGTCGTCGTCGTCCACGATGTCCGCACTGGCCCGCCTCGTCCACGAAGCGACCGCCGCCGCCAAGCACCACGACGACCCGGCGGACGAGCCTAATAATAACACCGACACCACGGACGCACCGGCATCTACGAGCCATGATCGCGACCTCGGCGAACATCATCCTCCGCAAACCGAGTCGCCCAAGCCGATATTCTCCAACGGCGACGCAGTGCACCCTTTGCCCGCCTCGCAGTCCGCCCCCAGCGCCCTGCCCCACTCCGGACTCTCTAAACCGCGTCCGCGACCATCGATTTCCCAGTCGGTGCGCTCCCAATCGACCGCGCGCCGGTCCTCGCACTCGGCCGTCGTGCGCGCCGCGCAGCCCGGCACGCCCGCCGCGCGCACGGGCCCGCCGAGCTCGCTCAACGTCAGCTACTCGCTCCCGGGAGGCCGCTACGGCGGCTCGCGCCCGCCCTCGGCCTTCGCCCACCCCGGAGGCGACTTCGGGAACTACTTTACGTACTCGCCGAGGAACTCGATGGCGATGACGCAGCACGCTCAAATCGACGAGGAGGATCCGGGGTCGTCTCACCCACAGGGAGAAAGCGAAGGCGTGAAACGGCAGAGGCCGCGGCTGGACGCGCAGGACACCGAGTTTCGCGGTGCGCTCGAATACGCCGACCCCGAGCAGCGCGAGAGCGAGCGCAAGGAGCGGGAGAGGTGGGAGCGCAAGCGCGCGAGTCGCATGCAGATGGGCGAGGGTGGGGGAGACTATTCGAGCTGGAACCCCGTCAAGTGGTTCAACGCGGCGGATTCGCCTACCTCGGGGAACGAGCAGCGCGCGAGCGGGACGTGGTTTGACTGGGGAGACTCCTCGAAGAAGGACAAGGGCAAGGAGAAGGAGCGCCAGGACTCGCAGCAGCCCGAGGAGCCCCCTGCGGAGGGAGAGGATGGGCAGCACGAAGAGACTCAAGATCCGGAGAAGGAGAAGGAACGAAAAGCCGCCGCCCTCGTCGCCTCTAAGATGCAGCCCGGCGCGACCTACACCCCGCAACCTCCCCACAAGGCGCCGCTCCATCTCAAACGCTCCCAATCCCTCCCGCACATGCGTCGACCGGCCTCCTCGCGGCCTAACGCGCCCCGCTGGCAACGCCTACGCTCCCTCCTCCCTTCGATCGTCCCGCCACGGACGCCCGGGCCGTCGGTCGTGACGCCGCACAACGTGAACATCACGGACGAGCTCATGGCCGGCGGACTGTCGACGATCATGCTCAAGCTATGGTTCGAGCGCGACGAAAAGGGCCAGCGTCGCGTGCCCGTGCTCCTCCACCGGCTCCGCATCCGCATCTCCGACTCGCTCTACCCGCTCTCCGGCCACAAGGCCGTGTTCCGGATCGAGTGCGAGTACGCGAACGGCGCGTCAAGATGGGTGATCTACAGGCAGCTCCGGGACTTTATCAGCTTGCATACGCATTATACGGCGAGCAACGCGTGGAATAGGAATGTTGAGGGAATGCCGGACTTCCCGACCACGAGTGAGTCTTTCTTGTACAATTTCCCTGCCTGTGGCGTGGTGGCAATCGGTTGCTGATTTTTTCTTTCTTTTTACAGGTCTTCCATACTTCAAGTGGCTGAGGGCGAACGCTCGTGAACGAGGCGCCGACGTCGATCGCTCCGAGTTTGCGCGTATGCAGAGAGGGCTGCTGGAGGACTACCTCCTCGGTCTCATCCGTGCCGTGGTGCGCATATATCCGCTTTAGTCATCATCATTCCTATTGTCTGACGCGCACATGTGCACATCTAGATGTTCCATCCGACCTCGAACCGCCTCTGTGGCTTCCTCGAGATCTCCGCGCTCTCGATCCAGCTCGCGCCCACCGGCGGCACGCAGTACAAAGCCGGATTCCTCCGCATCGACGCTTCGGGCTCTAAAGGTGGCGGTTTTGGCCGGCGGAGTGCGAGCTGGGCTAAGCGGAAGGAAGCCAAGTGGTGCGCGGTGAGGGAGAGTTATCTCGTCGCGGTAGAGGAGCAGGGCGAGGCGACGGTGTGGGACGTGTTCCTGTTCGACCAGGAGTTCAAAATCGAGAGGCCGCCGAGGGCGTACAGGCAGGGTCTTAACATCCTCACGGGACATCCGGAGGGCGGGTACGATCACGAGTACGGTTACGCCGACGACGAGGGGAAGGAGAAGCCGGCGAACGGGACGGCGCGCAGCCAGGTGAAGCACAAGCACCATTCGGTCACGGGCTCCATCCGGCGTGGGTTCAAGAAGGTCGAGCGAGCGTTGCATATCGGCCACCAGGGACACCCACGGCATCGCTCGGACTCGCAAATGAACGGGCACGCGAATGCGCGGTCCTCGCAGCAGGACGGAGACGGCTCGTCCTCCTCGTCATCGAACTCGTCGGACGAGGATTCGGACGAGGAGCGCGAGCACCGGCACATGCTCGATCCGTCGACGAACACGAATCCGCTGAACAGCCCCGGCCCGGAGCACGACGGCGACCTCGGGCTGATCCAGGGACAGGCGCAGGCCGGCGCGAACGGCGACGCGACGGCTGGACCCGCCGCGGCAGGCAAGAAGGACGGCGCAGGCGGGGAGGACAAGAAGGCGACGAAGGCGGTGAAGAAGAAGCGGAGCTCGCGCGATGCGTCGAAGCATACGTTTTATATCGAGAACGCGCAGATGAGGCTGAAGCTTATCGCTAGGAACGAGGTAAGCTTGTCCTGCTCGGTCGTATCGGGCTGGTGAGCTGTCGGACGATGGGCTGATGCTTGTTTTTTGCGGTGTGTAGCGTCAGATGCAGCAGTGGATCGCGGCGATGGAGCGGGTGGCGAAAACGTCGCATTACACGGGCATGAATCGGTTCAAGAGTTTCGCACCCATAAGGCTGAACGTCGCTGCGCAGTGGCTCGTCGATGGAGTCAGTGTATATCGATCGTGTTGCTTCCGTCATCTACTGATGGGTGGCTGAATAGCGCGATTACTTTTGGAATCTCGCGCGAGCGATCTTGCTGGCCAGGGACCGGATATATATTCACGACTGGTGGTTGTCTCCAGGTCAGTATGTTGAGCTCTTCCGCATGCGGTCCGGATGCTGATGCCGAGGCAACTGTAGAACTGCAGCTGCGTCGACCTAGCAAGGAACATTACCGTCTCGACAAACTTCTGCAACGAAAGGCGCAGGAGGGCGTCAAGGTCTACGTGATATTATAGTGCGTCGCCCGGGTGGGTGGGATTGAGCGTGTTGTCGCTAACTAGTATCACAGTCAGGAGGTCTCCAGTCGTACGACTCCTACCGACAGCAAGTGAGCAGTACGGGCCGAAAGAGTGTCGCGACATAGTCTGATCTTTACCCTCTGTAGCTACGCAAAGCAACGGTTGACGTCTCTGCACGAGAACATCATGGTGCAGCGCTCGCCTTCGCATTTTCAAACGGGCACGTTCTATTGGGCTCACGTAAGGTTATTACACCCACCTAGGGGGACGAATTTCTGATCAAGCTTTCAGCATGAGAAAATGTGCGTCATAGACGACGCGATTGCTTTCATGGGCGGTCTCGATCTCTGCTTTGGACGGTAGATGCACACCTAGCAGACGTACACGGCTCTGGTCTCACCCAGCGCTTCAGATGGGACACAGCACAGCATGTACTCGTGGACGACCTGGAACCCGGTTCGGACGGTTCGGAGCACGTGTGGCCGGGTTGGTCGATTTTTGGAGGAAGAGCGCGGAGCTTGCTGATCGCATTGGCGTAGGCAAGGACTACAGCAACCCTCGCGTCAAGGACTTTTACTCCTTGAACCAGCCGGACGAGGACATGTACGACCGGCAGAAGATCCCTCGTATGCCGTGGCACGATGTCGGAATGCAGATCGTTGGTCAGCCGGCCAGAGATCTCGCGCGACATTTCGTTCAGAGGTGATTATTGCATATGGAAGTGTCGCCGCCTAGAGTTGTTCTAACTGCTCACAGGTGGAACTACCTTTTGCGGATCAAGGTGGGCAAACGCTACGCGCACCATGCCAGTGTTCGTGAAACTTATGCTTCTTGATATCTAGAATCATTCACGCACGATGCCGTTCTTACTTCCTCCGCCCGAGTTCCACCCTGACGAACTGACGAGGTTGGGCCTGACGGGCACACTCGAGTTCCAGATCTGTCGCTCCGCCGGCCCGTGGTCACTGGGTACGCCGACCAAAATGGAGCATTCTATCCAGGACGCTTATCTCAAAGGTGCGTGTGCGATAGATGAATGTCATTAAATGTTCAATTGAATGACTCGGACCAGCTATCCAAATGTCGGAGCACTTCGTATACATCGAAAACCAGTTTTTCATCACATCGTTAGTGCTCTGCAGTCGCTATATGACAACTTGGACTTACGAATACATTCCTAGTACCATGGTCGGAGACGTGAAGATAGAGAACAAGATTGGTGACGCTCTTGTACACCGCATCATCCGAGCCCATCGCGAAGGTGTCCAATGGAAGGCTTGCATCCTGATTCCTCTCATCCCTGGATTTACCTTCCCCGTCGATCATAATGATGCCAGCGCCGTAAGCCTTATCATGATGCCGTGCCCCCATCGTCAATGATGGTATGCCCGTTAGATCCGTATCATCCTCGAGTGCCAGAATCGGACGATCAGCCGCGGTCCGAACTCTATCTACGGACGCCTGCGGAAAGAGGGTATCGATGTAGGCGATTCCATATTCTCGCCGTACATGTCTTTGACCATGCGTCCAGCCTGACGACTATATCTCCGTATTCTGCTTACGCAACTGGGGTAAGCTCAAAGGCGATGTCCTAACGACAGAACAGGTAGGCTATAAACATGTATGCAAAAGAAGGAGACTGACTTCAGTGCCTTCAGGTATACATCCACGGCAAGGTGCGGACTGATTACCTCGACTTATATCAGAGCCCCTGAACGTGAACAGGTATGCATCGTCGATGACCGGTTAGTCATCATGGGCAGCGCGAATATCAACGAACGCTCCATGCGAGGCGACCGTGACTCTGAACTCGCTGCGGTCATCAGGGACACCGACATGATCGACGGGTTTGTCGATACCCATCCAGATTCACGCATAATGTGACTGAGCGAAAATCCGCAGCACTATGGCTGGTAAACCCTTCAAAGTCGGACGTTTCGCCCACACCTTGAGAGTTCGCCTCATGCGCGAGCACCTGGGCGTTGACGTTGACGCTATGTACGAGGAAGATCTCATGGCCAATGAACCTGTGCAGCCCGAGCACGAGCAAGAGGAATGGGACCCCGACAAGCAACAACAATACGGCCATGAAGACGAGGTTGTTGAAGTGACTTCGGGTCAGCACAGGACTGCTGCTAAATCCATCGCGCACGATGTTTTTGAAGGGGCAGGCGAAGGTATGGTCATCGTAGACCTGATGGGAACGTACTGACGTACTGGCGACTCAGCTTGGCGTGGAGGCGCGGACGCCGGCTCCAAGGACGCACGTCTTCTCCTGCATAGGTTTCACCTCAAGGGTGGGAACCTTGACGCTACGGCAGGGGACCAAGCCCTCAAAGACGAGCGCACAACGTTCACGAAAGAGGGCGAACAGGAGCCTGGCTTCGCGTCCGCCCAAGTTCCGACGCTCGAAGAGAAAATCATAGCAACACACAGCCCCTTGAAGGATGCCGACGTCGAGACTGCAAACGGCAATGCCAATACGATTGAAGGCCGGACTGCGGATGAGACCGAGCTGTATGGAGCGCCTGCAGATGCTGCCAAGAACGATGCCGCACCACCCAGCGGTGACAAGGATGTATCCTCCCAGGAGCAGACCGCGTTACATTCGCGCTCGGTCCTTCGCAAGCATGTTACAGCCAAGCTGAAGCAAGGCCCCTGGACGATCCCTACTCCTCGACCCCAAGTCGACCCGAACGGATTTGACGACCCTGTATGTGATGCATTCTGGAGGGATGTGTGGGTGGCTTCTGCCGTGCGCAATGTACGTCTTGTGTTTGGATTGCAGGGCGTAGTTCGCTGAATGTTTGCTTGCATCAGACCGAAATCTTCCGCAAAGTGTTCCATGCGATACCCGACGACATGGTGACGACGTGGAAACAGTACAAGGAGTTCATTGCCCATCATGAACGTCTGAACAAGCCTGTTAGTGATCATGTCTTTACGTGGGCCCCCGAGCCTTTACTCATCGTTTGGGACAGGTGAAGGGAGAGGCTCAACCTCTAGTGGCACGAATGCCTTCTGAAACAGCGGATGGAGATGCTCCAGGTCATCAAACGGTTGCTGAGAAGAACGAGGATCCCGAAGGAAACATAGTTGTCAATGAGGACAGCGGAAAGCAACCGGGTCACGGTCAGCCTCAGGACGGAGTTTCTCGAAAAAGTTCAAGCACACATTCTGAGCCCTCTGCGTCGCATGGTGACAAGGACAAAGGGGTCGATAGGACCAAAGAGAAGGCACATCCTGCGGAGCATAGCAAACATCCAAGCGTTTCGCAGCCGTCGCAGCAACAAGGTCAAACAGAGGCACCCGGCGAGACGAAGGAGAAAGCGCGCCGTCACGCCAAGGGCGATGAGCCATTCGAAAAGTGGGAACGAGAGGAGATGGAGAATTTACTGCATGAGCTTAATGGGCAGTTGGGTAAGTGCATACGATAGACCCTCAATGTGTCAAATGGTGTGCTAAGTCTTTACTGCAGTATTATACCCCACCCGATTCCTTGAAGGCGAAGATATCGCCAACAACTTCTTGTTCAACGCCGACCGGTATGTTCTCATCGATCATTCGCGACGCTTGGCGCTCAATAGTTTCTAGATTACTTCCTCTCCCTATCTACGATTAATCATGGACCATCCACATCCACAAGATTGCTGCGATTCGATTCACGGACATGCATTACGATACCCTCTTGTATTCTTGATTTCGAAACAGATATCAATCTCAGGCATAGTCCGCCTCAGTCCAATGCAGCGCGCCACCTATCGTCCAAGTTAACGTAAAGAATCCCTTGATGCTGGACCTGCGGGAGTTGCTCTTCGAGCCGAGATTCGAAAATACGGATTTCGCTGCCTGATCGAAGTTCGAAGGAGATATCGTCGACTTCGACCAGTTTCAGCGCGGGGAACTTGCCAGGGTTACTCAGCGCTTCGTCTACCATGGCCCAATCGAATCCAGGCCACGTTGCCTGCGTTTCCTACGCCCAAGACTACCGCCTCGAGGAGATGCGTATTCAGAGACAGTAAGAGAGGGGTTGTCCAGCTTCCATCGTTGTCGTCGAGATTGAAATTCTTCTCCCTGAAAACTCCAGTCTCCTGCTTAAATACGAGCGCACGCAACCCGCCGCCGCCGGTCCGGTCCCTAAAGTCTGAGAAGATATCTGCAGCTATTGTCAGTAGAGATGAGGACCGTTCACCTCGGGACGATCGCACCTTCCGGGTGCATTTCATCTTCGTACAGAGGATATTCCCACCTCTCGGTCACGACCACATGCAACTCCACGACACCCTTCTCCAACTTGATCATGTCGCAGAGGAACTGGTAGTCGCAGCTATCAATGATCATCAAGTTCAGGACCTTGACATCGTCAAATCCACTGAAAAATATGGCGGCATCCTCCAGCGATCCCATCCTGTGGTCATGCAGCACCAGAGTGGTCAAACGGAGAGAGGATGATGGCCACAGCTCCAGCATGGGCTCTTCATCCTCAGGCCCTGCGTATTCAATTCGAGTCGACTTCAACTCCAACTGCTCCAGCAGAGGCATACGGGAGAGTACGATAGCCAGCCGATCCAGACTGTCGATGGCAGTATCCTCCAGTATGAACAACCGCACGGGCAGGCGGGGGTCATAAAGATCCGGAAGGTGTGATAGAGATGGTGCAATGGTACTCCCGAAGAGCATGTTTCTGCAATCAATGATATGGAGAGAGTCGAGACACTTGCAAGATGAACCCAATGCAGCGCTCTTTGTAGCCCAACGTTAAATTCATACGTAGATGCTGTACGTACGTCGCCAACTGCGGCGAACTGATGAAGACGTTGACAAGGTTCGCGCACTGCATGATTTCTTCGACGGACACGTAGGCAAACAGGTAGCTTTGGCACCGGGCACGCGTCGCCCTGCAGACGAGAGACATATTCTTGTATGCACCGCGGAGGTACGGGCGGTCGAAGGGTTCAGCACTGTGATCACCGTCCTTTAATTGGTTGATAATGCAGTCCATAAGTTCGTTCGGGAGGCGGCGCGGAAGGATCAGTGTCGACTGTGCGACCATGATAGCGTTGTCCGCGTTCAGGTTGAGGACGGTTTATTTTGATTCTCCAATGGAGGTCGACGGCGTGCGGCGATTTATGGCCATCGCTGACTGAAATCGTAGACAAAGCAGATCGGCATTTTTGGGCGTGGAGAGAAAAGGCGTTATGTCCAGGTCGCGACATTGTACGTTGGGTGAAAGCGGTATGGCGTTACTCGTATTTGCCACATACAAGACAATATAGTACAAGGGTCCCCGTTTCACGTGGCTGCGCGTGGTCTTTTTCTCCACTCTCTTTCGCAAAGAACATCCTTGAGTTCTACGTTGTGAATGTTCAGGATACATTCTTGTCCGTCGCCGCCATAGGCCTCAGAAATCCGCTTCTCTATACCATCCTGCAGCGTCTGATTACGGACGATATGCTACATTTAGAGCTCCAGAAACATCGCCACCCCCACCATGCGTTTAAATGAAATCCCATTCCTCCCAATCAATCTGGTCAAAGCTGAGCTTGTCCGCCTTGTAAACCTTCGGAAATTCCTGTTCCATCCAAAACATGATTGTCATGGGGCCCGTCCCCTCCTCGTACTCGTCGCGTTCGAGTTCGATGACCGTGAGTTCCTTGAAAGCAGGAAACCGGGCAGGATCCGTCAAGGCATCATCCACGGCTTTGAAATCGAATCCAGGCCACCCCTCTTCCCCGTCGATGACCAAGACGACCTCCTCCAGCTGCTCCGTGTTCAGCTCGTGCAACAGAAGCCGCATCGGCCAGTCTCCCTCATCATCCGGGATCAGTCCGGCCAGACGCCCGTACTCGCACGTCTGCTTCAGCACGAGCGTGTGCAGGGCGCCTCCGCCGGTTCGTTGTCTGAAATCCGACAAAAAGTCTGGTGCGGTCTGATTCAGCGTACTACGACGAGAGTGGAATGAAGATCGCACTCAGTTGGGGAGGCGCTGCGGCCTCGCTCGTCGGAATCTCTGGTCTCTCCGCCACCGAGACGACCAACCTCCTGACGCCTTTCTCTGGCTGCATCATATCGCAGAAGAACTGGTAATCGCAACGGTCGAGAATGAACATGTCCAGGCACGAGACCTGGTCGAAGCCTCGAGCGAACAACGCGGCGTGTTCGCGGGATTTCAGGTTGTGGCCATGTAGCGTAAGGCGCTTTAGGTTGTAGCGAGACTTCGTCCACGACCTCGGGGCCAGCATATCCTGCTGCTCCGGCCACGCCCATAGAAAGCGGGTCGACTCGAGTTCGAGATGCTCCAGCTTGCTGAGGTAGGAGAAGGAGGCAGCAAACATGTAGAATGTCGCGATCTCGGCATCCTTGAGCCGGAAGTACCGAAGAAGTGGGTATCGATAGGGGGCAGGGGGACGGAGGCCGGGCCCGGCGGTTGTCCACCACAATTGGCACCCGACGTTGCTGATCTCCAGTTGCTTGACGCCCTGGCACACCGTCAAGATGCACCGCAACGACGCGATCTCGTCGAAGCCCGGTTCCACGTTGACCTCCAGGTGGCACACGTACGATGGCAGGCGGCGGTTAGACATCATGGCAGTCCAAAGGTTATCAAGCTGCCGTTTGCTATGAACCAACAGGCCGGTGAACAGTGCTTTCTGGCAGCGGTCTCGGGTCGCTTTGCAAACGAGAGACATGGCCTTGACCGTCTCTACTATGTCTGGGTCAGGATGGGAAGGCGGTGATGCGTCACCAATATTGTCAATGACGTAGTCTAGAAGTTCCTGAGGGAGGCGACGCTGTTGGGGATATACTGCTGATGATCGTTCGGGCATATTGGTTTGGGGAGAGTCGGTGGCGAATTGTTCGTAGTATCTGAGGCGACGACTCCCATATCTTGGGTAGATATATAATCACTGGAGACATAGACTTCAGACAAGGAGAGCCATATACAGGTAGCGACATTGTGTATCGAGTGAAAGTACAAGGACACCGTACAACACTGACAGGATTCGCTGCAACGGCTGGTCACGTGTCCCGTTATCCTTTCGGTCCATCATGATCTTCTGAATCTCAGTCTGGTCGAAACCGGTCATGTCTCCCGTGCAAGTGTACCATCGCAAAGCTTTCGACATTTCACTCTAAGACACGCTAAGAACTATGGATTACTGTATGAGACTTGCCGGATATGGGCCCTAAGCCCTACTCGCTGCTCACCGGCGAACTCGGGAAGCTTCGTCGAAACGCCCGAAGCATGGATCAAGAGAGCTAGATCATCACGACTCAATTGCTTGCTTGAGCTGGACTTGGTGTACAATTCCGGGATATACCACCAACCGCCGCAAGTGTACAGTCGTCGATCCACCACCTCCCGCGACGACTCCTCCAGAAATTCGAGCGAAATTCGAGAGTGCTGTGGGAGAGGTGTATCGGTATCCAACTCCGACCGTGCGAGATGCAACACAGCTGACATAGACACGTCCTCCTACGTCTGCGGACCACCGCGACGTTAGCTATGGACGGAGGCCTTCGTGCATGCTCAACTTCCTCACCTCGCATCGCATCTTCCCCCGCATACCTGGCGCACGCTTACACGCTGGCAGACACCGTGCACGTACCCTAAGATATACGCGAGACGGTACTGCTCACCTCTCGCCCATTCGTCTTTGCCATTAAACCAATGTGCCGTCCATAGCGTCATCTCCAGATCCAGCAGATCCTCGCTCGTATATCCTCTTCACTTGGTTGCGATGATCTTCTCGGGTCCGCGCTATTTTCCCGAGCACCCGGATCCCTTCGCCATCCGTCCGCTGCAATAGTCTAGACACGGCAGACCCACAGACCGGATCCAAGCTTCCCTCGCTCCGTCTAAGAGGAAGCAACTGATCAACGCTCATCTTCCAGTACATTCGCGGTAGTGCACTCTGGCGTTCGTACAATAACCGCAGGTAAATCGCCTTCATCAGCGCCACAGCACCGTCGATCCAATTATTTTCTCCGCTCGCAGCGTTGAGCCTGTCGATCGCGAAACATCCATAGCGCAAGGTAGTGATGCCCATCGCCGTCAGGGCCGGACTCGGCTTCCTTGCCTACGCGCAAGCCGTCGCCGAGCGTGTTTGCGTCGTTCGCTCCCTAGGTTCTTGGTCGAGAAGGCCAGAAAGGACCTTAAGGACGTTGTCGATGCCGGCTGTCTCGTTGAGAGCCTGAAGAGGAGGCTGTTGTTCAGAGAGTTCGATCCGTGCCTCGGAATCCGATGCGCCGCCGACATGGAGGAATAGGACGCGCAGACATGGAAGAGTAGGTCGCGCGGCGTAGTGCATCATCGACAGCTGGGAGGCTATCGTTTTGGTGCAACATACCGAGGAGGATAGGGGCGCTGGACGAGGGGTTTCTCATGACCATGGTACGCGGCGGCGCGGTACCATGGGTGTGCGTGGCTTTTGTCCTGCAGGAACATCATCACTTATATCCTTTCCCAGCGTTCAGGAAAAGAGTGGGGTACCGCATGACCTTCGAGAACTGCGTCTCTCCTGTGTCTTGCATGACCTGACTTTCTGAGCGTTTGACGCGTTCGACGTCGGAATGTCCGCGACAAGTGTTCGAAATCCTGCTGCCACCTGGTTTGTGCTGGAACCGGCCGAAGATCGGACGACTAGTCGATGAAAAAATGAAAGTAGTGACCGGTGGACGTGCGTAGGGGGGGACAGTCGTGGCTTAGAAATCCTTGTCTCGGTAAACCAATAGGAGTTAGATATGGAATGGTTTTTTGTCTCAGGTGGATGTCGTTGATCTTCGGACTCTGGCGCGCCATGATGCGGGTCACATGAGGCGCTGAGTTATATAAACGCAACTTGCGGGAGGCGATTCACTTTCACTCTTGTCCCTCACCTTCCTCGCCCGTTTTTTTCTTCTTTTGCCTCTCGGCCTGTACCCCGCCTTCGTCAACTTGGCTTCAATGCTCATCGGGCTCGATATCCCGATCCCCCAATACTCGTCCTTATAAAAATTCCTAGCTCTTCTGTGGCTTCAAACTCTCAACAAACTTTGGCCGTATCTTCACAACACCTCCGGAGTACACACTATCCATTTCAGGCCCTCTGCGTCGGCATCTTCTTGGAGAAGGATCACAGCCACTCATTGGAGAAGCCGTCGGCTCCGGCTACTCAGGTCCGCCGGCTATCATTCCGGCAGGCTCCGTTTCCCCCTTTCTCCGTGACGACTTGTCCTCAATCCCACACCGAGCCAAACACAACAGCATGCTATTGTATGCTCACGAACAATTACTTGCTATCTATGGGTCTGGGATTCTCAGGTGCTCCGTCTCTGAACTCGTATTGTCGAAGATTGGTCTATATCTCTGAGATCTTCCGAGTGTATACCGACCTCCTCCAGCCTCTCCTTGTCGTCCATTGACCTGGCAAGCCATCTCGCATACCTCGCGGGCGTCATCTCGGCTGCTCTTGTCTCTTGTCTGCGATATGGTGCCTCGATCATGTGGGAATGCTGTCGAAAGGCGGTGGTCACCAAAGGCACGCAAAGCTGGCCCCACAAACCCGCGGTCAGTCTCAGCTCGCTCCTGGCCATCGATAGCTCAAGTACTGTCCCTACTCGGCCCTGCCAGTTTTGAATGCCTTTTGCAGTCTCCGGTCACCATCGATTCTCGATCCTTGAGCGCTGGACGGTGGGCGCGTTGCCTGTCCGGGACTGCAGTCCGTTCTCATCCTGATCGCTGATGGCGGACTATACCTCAAGAGGACGTACTCGGCTTCCATTTCGACAGCTTCCCTCGTGGGTCGACCCCGCCATATACCCTGATAAGGTGGTCCACCCAGTTTTACCTGCCCCCTTTCACCCTCCACCACGACCTGGCCCTCCAGCCGGTGGCCAAAACCCAGCACACAGCCTCGTCCAGCATCCGACTGAGACATTCGCACTGATGAGGGCGTTCCGTCATTACATGGTCATTGAATCGGCACGTCCGCGCCGCGTGACCGCGATTCATGGACGTGCTATTATGCGTTAGGTGCTATAACGCGTTTCGCCCCTTTCCACAACTCAACAATCATCTATACTCTCTACTCCCCCAAACTCCTCTATCGACCTCATATTGCACCCAAGAACATGAATGCAAACGGCTATGGGCAGCAGGAACCGCTGCGAGGCCCAGACGACAACTTCCGCGGACTCGCACCCGTAAGTCCTGCACAGTGTGGCTTATTGTGTGCAGACCTCCCCCGAGTTCTAACATGCCCTTAGACTGTACAGAACGGTGATCTGGAGGAGTTTGGCACTCGTGCCGATTCCATCAACTGGATGGAAACCGATAATGCGCAAGTTACATCGGCCTTGGTCGAACGCACGAACAACTGGATTGCACTCCATCCCACCCAACCTCTCTTCCCCAACGCCACGACGCTCCGTGCTCGCTGCCTCTCTTCACTGGGCGTGCACGTCGTCGCCCAATGGCTTTCCGCCGCTCTCGCGACTTTGGACATAATCCTCCGTGCGGGCGTGGACCACCATGCCCTCGCCGATCTTCTCTTTGCCATCATCCTTCCGCGGCCGTTCGTTGGCCCTGCCATCAACTCCTTCACCCTCATCTGGGACTCGCATGCCGTTCTCGACCACGAGTTCGTGGAGGCATGTGGGGCACTGGCGAACATATTTAGACCCCGGAATCCCTTCCCCAACTGCTTGAAATTCCTGCACCTCTCGCTCGACTTCGTCGCGGGGTCCGACGAAGTCTGGGACGCGATTGCCGCATTGCCGGCCCTGGAGGAACTCAGACTCTCCGCGAGGACCAACATAGTTCAAGCCGCCACGTCGTGGCGCGGAAGATGGGGCAGGCCGAACGTCTTCCCCATGCTCAAGCGCCTCCATATCAGCGCACCGATTGAGGAAGCGACGGAGATCGTCCGAGCTACAAGACCCAACCTCGAGGAGCTGCGGTTGGAAGTCCCTCTGCTCGCCGCGTTCGACGAGCGCATCGTGGGCGCACTCCGCGCCATGGCCTTGGCGTGTCGCGCCCTACGCCGCGTCCACATCTTCATCAAGGACATGCGCGTGCACGAGCAGGTCGCCGGACTGCTGCTCCAGCCCCTTTACCCCCTCCCCCTCGTGGCATTCTCGCTACGCTACCCCTCCGAACCCCTGTCCCTATCAGACGAAGAGTTCGAAGAGATGGTTCGAGCATGGCCTTCACTCCGTCACCTCGAGCTGAACCCGCTGGGGCGCAATGCTTTGGGTCTGGTGTTCGACAAGCTGCCAACGCTCAACGCCGTCATGATCGCGCTTGCGCGGTGCCCATCCCTCCGGCACCTCGGATTGCGTATCGACCCTAACGCGCCAGTCACTGCCGCGCTGCACAGCTGGGGAATCTTGCGGACCTTGGACCTCGGGGTGTCCCAAGGCACCTACTGGAATGCGCCTCAGGTGGCTCGTGTCCTCCACGATTCGTTGCCCGTCGACCGGGGCTATCATGCTCTCGAGATAGACGATGGCGCGGACCAATCAGAGTGGGTGCGCGCCGTCGCCCAAGAATTCGAGGTGCTCCGCCGGTCCTGAGCTCCTTGAGGTCCTGGCCTTGGCCTACCAAGCGTTGTCGACCGCGGGAGACAACTCGAAGCAACATTTTCCGTGATTTTTCGTCTCTTACTGCGTCTCCCCAGAATCTCGTTGGTGACACTCGTCTGCAACTCCAAGCATCTTTACATATTCCTCATCATACCCTACGGACAAAAACAAGTCAAAATATGAAACCGATATACATACGTAGACTATGTGTATGATTAACGAGAAGGAGGATAACATAGTCATTAAACAAAATCGTTCGATACCGACGCTCGATCTTGAACGAGCAGGGCAAATCGCTGTTCTCGGTCAGGTGAATATCGCCAGTGGATGCGGTTCATATATCACGTCGTTCGTGCGGCAAGTTACCGATCCACAACGTGGTACATGTTTCATTCTTCAACATCCAATATGGATGTAAGGTGCCCATCGACTAGGGGTGGGATCGATTTCTCGCAGCTTCTGCACTGCAGCATCGAGAGCATATGGGACGATATGGGGATCGAGAAACTCTGAGTCTCCCCGGAACAGCTCTTCATAGACCGTCCGCGCTACCAGTGGTCCGTCCACGTCTCCCATGGACCTTGATCAGAGACGTGAGCTGCAGGAACCACTCGTTATCCTGATCACGACTTACCATAGAGTGGCTATCACGCTCTTGAACCCGGTGAACAACATCGCCGCTGCAAGGTGGACAGCCTGATCAGGACGGCTGGCGTCGCCCTTTGCGGTCTCGCACGCGCTGAGGAAGGCTAGGAAGGCGTTCGGAAGCGAAGTCGGCATCAGCTTGGCGATGGTCAGCATCTCGTCGCGCAGCAGGAAACCGCTGGCCAGGGGGTTCTTGGAATCCTGATATCCGTGGCAAGCCAAGTGGAGGATGGTCGCGTTCGGGAGCTCCTCCAATACGGTCCGGACGCGTGCGCCGCACTCGCCTCCGTTGCTAGCGTCGTCCTCGAGCGGCAGGCAGATGAACGCGTCACGAGGTACCACCGAATTGATCTCGGATAGTTCGTGCGCCGTGTATGGCAGAGGCTGCCATTCAGGGTCGTATGGCGAGGGCGCAGCAGCCAACAGAATCTTCGTCGTATCGCGCGGGATTGGCTTCAGCTTCTTCTGCGCGGTCCGAAGGCTACTCAAAGTCGGAGCGTAGGAGGATACCAAGTAGTCGGCGCAAGATTCGGCCTTATCCTCCCCGTAAAGCCCGGCAGCGTGAACAGGAACGAATGCGAATACCCCTGTAGGTATCCACATAACTCGTGGGCGATCTCGCCCCGCAGCCCTCTGAAAGCATATCTTCAGTAAGTCAGAACCTCACACAGCCGGAAGGGCACTTACCACCAGACCGAGGGCAGCTACAATCGGTTGTACCACTGCGTTCCAAAGCTGCGTCAAAACAATGTTACCGCCTTCACGCGGTTTCTTGGCCTTCTTCTTCACCATCAAACGTACATTGAACGGTCGATCACGTTGTCGCAGCTCTTTCCTATAGGATATGTTCGCTTGTTTGAAGCTTACAGCGTGCTTGCCCAGTTCTTGGGCGGTGATGCCTGGTAAAGGGACCCACTTGCAGGAACGGTCTTGTCCGATGACGATCGCGTGACATCCGTCGCGGGCTCCCGGTACCAACATGATGACGTGCGCTCGAGACGTCTCCGCCGTCCGAGCTAGCTCTTCAAAGGAATAACCCATGAGGAAGCGATCCATGCCCGGTAATCTGCGAGCCTCCATGACGAGCGTATCGAATTTCTCGCTGAGGCATTGACGGGCAAATTCAGGTTGGTCATGTCGAAAACTTCCTTCCTCGAGCGCTCGCGAAAGTTGTAACAGGTCTCGAGACATACCCTCAGGCAGTTGATCGAAGTCCTCGCGGAGGTGCAAGCTCTGTTTCCAGAAGCTCGCTCGCCCTTGTTCCAGATATTCGATGGCCAACTCCGGGCGCCCGACGCTGAGCGCAGTGACCGCCGCATCGCGAGCTAAGGTTTCCCAGGTTGTAACCTGTCGCAGTCGAGTCTGAATGCTGGCGGCCCTAAAGGCCATCCGGGGTGGTAGGCGTAGCACGCGACTGTAAACCTCTAACAAAGCGTCGACGGCCTCGTGCTGAACGTCAGCATCCGGCGACATAAACCGCTTCTGCAACTCGGAAATCACCGGCATAGAGCATGCCACCCGATCTTTGACGTTGCCCAAACTATCATCGATCATGGCAATAAGGTGAGCTATAGAAGTCGTGTAGTCACCACGACGGAGGTAGAGGCACGACAAGCAGTAGTGTGCCATGAACCGGGCAGGATGACCGTCTTGCATAATGGCCATTGCTTCCATCGAACATCGCATGGCAAGCTCCAGATCCTCTTCCGTAGGCGTGAAAGACGAGGGCTCAACGATGTCCAGCGCAAGACAGTAAAGAGCTTGATGCCGCTGCATATGGCCAGGAGGGCAAGCCTCTAGAGCTTCTTTCCGAATGGACAACAACTCCCTTCGATCCTGGGCGCCAGTGGACACGATGTCCAACCGATGTTTTGCGACGACAGCAAGGAATGTAAGCGCATCTCCTCGACTTTTGTGCCCTTCTGGACGATGCCTGAGCACTTCTTCCAGTAGTCGTGCCGCGTGATCCACAGGCTGTAAGTCTTCAAGCGTCGGAGGACGGTCCAAATGGTCAAACTGAAGACACATGATGCTCGCCATTGTCGTCAGCGCGTCCGCTCGTCGAGGGTGTCCTGGTGGCGTCAAGGTCAACGCTTCCGTGCTGAGGCGCATCGCCTGATCAATGATATTGGGGTCGCCCGTATGGCTGAACATGGTCTGGCGCATGTGAGCCAGCCGCAAAAGCCACCTTAAGCGTCCCCCGCTATCGATATAGGAGAAGACGCGCAACGCCTCCCTGGCAAGAACAGTGGCTTCGTTCAAGAAGTCAATGTTCTTGGCTGGCTGGTGGTGGAACATGTGTAACATCCAATGACATATGTCGAGGAAGGTGCAGTCAAGGGAATTGATGATGTATGGCCTCAAGTCGTGCCCCTCGGGACATTCTTCGAAGGCGATATGAAAAACCCTTACAGCTTCTTCTGCATCATCCACGTTCTTCGATAATCGGTACCTATGGTGCAAGGAATTGCCTAGGTTCGCAAGAGAGTAGAGCCGGTCATCGTCGTGATGGGCAAAGAGCGCTACGGCTTTCCGATACGAATGAATGGACAGGTCGAGGTGCCATGCTGCTGGCTCGGACGCATGACCCGGCCCGTTTCCAAGGGTCGTATCATCGGGATCCACAGTCAAAGCGGCACAAACAGCGCTGTATAGAGGCGGAAAGGGACGGGAAGGTTTACCGATGTATCGCTCGATGTGATAACGAGCCCCTGCATCTAAGGGACGTTCTGCCTGGGTTCGAATCAGGTCAACTTGGTAGCTTGGTCGGTGTGATCGAGAAGCGACACCAGGCGGAAGTAGGGGCCCCGGCGATGGTGTCCACGATATGCAGGACGGGATCGCGGAAGGCACTGGTGGGTCGATAATACGCGGTACGAATTTTCGGGCTGTGGCAAGAGACGTTCCTAGTAGAGAGCCAATCAGTATTATAAATGCAATCGAAGCAACTGAGTTATACTACGAACCTTCAACAGCCCCATGGAGATGTTGATCGCATTTGCGAACCATGCTCGATCGACACGCGTATGATGTCTCCTGGCGTGAGCCGCGTGCTGAAGAAGCATAAGTAAAAGCCCGATATAAGTCAGAACCAAACGCATGCTTCCTAATCGAGAGAGAGAGGGATCTAACTCAAGGGACAGGTAATAGCGAGCGCGCGAGGACAGCGACTCCGACCCGGTCGACTCGAAGGGGATGGGGTTGCTTGCTAGCCCTGCCTCCTACATATACGATGATAGCCGTCGCCTCGTCTTCATCAGGCCTCGACGTCACGGACGCAAAACCAATCCATGGTTCGGATTTCTAAGCGAGGCCTTCCTCTGGTGCACGGGATTTTACTGCACGGGTCGGTAGGAATGAGAACCAAATCCCCATGGCAGCGTATTTCGCCATAGTAATTGGACACTGTACGAGCTATCTGGAGGTACAGACGATATCGAAGGCGCGCAAGCACATTGGTATGGTATGGTATTACCCTGCACGGTCCCAGTAGCGGATTGGAGAATAATGACGAGACAATATGACGAGAGGAGACGACTCGAGGTTGTGCGAGTCGGCCTAAGTCGGCCGTCAAAGGCAACTCCCGCGGATCACCTACCACCAGCCATGTCGCCCAAAAATTGAACTCGCCACTACTTCCTTTCAGTCGCTTAGGCGTTGATAGGTATGTCAAGGGTGTTATCAAGGCATCACATTACGACAATGTCCCTCTAAGGCCGCTGCGAATGCCCGGTCAACACGGAGGAGCTATGTCAGGAAAAGATCTCGTCCATCCAAGACGGAGAATCTATGCTGGGAAGAGTTGAAGCTCGTCATAGAGACTATTACGATGGGGTTGATCTAGGTAGCTATCACAACGGCTACAGTATTTGCGACTACGGCTTACACACCCCGTTCATAGCCATAATCCGAAGCAATAATCCGTCTTACGAAGTTGAGGATCGCTTGGTTGACCTCTTGCGGCTGCTCGAAGAACGGTGCATGCCCGGCGCTGCGCAGAAGCACGAACTCGGATCTCTCGAACGTCTCTTCCATGAACCTTTGCAGGTTCTCCCAAACGACGTGATTGTCCTTGTCGCCCTGCAAGATGAGGTACGGAAGCGTGTTCCGTGTGGTCAAAATCGCGCTCTCGTCCTGGGTGCGCATGATAATGTGTCGCCGCGCCGCGGGGACCATTGCCGTGACACCGCCTATCCACGCGAGCTTGGTGTCGTACGGAAGATCACGCGCAGGCTCCGCAAAACACGACTCGACGAACACCTCGCAAGCCTGCATCGTTGGGCCGTCGTCATTGGACCGCCATAAGCCGATTGAGTGGAGTTGCGCACCTTGGAGAACACGGCGATATCGTCGCTGACTAGGTCAGGCACTATGCTCATGATGGTTGGGTGTGCAACCTCGGGGTGCATGCTGCGATACGGGAAACCACCAGTGATGATCACGCCGGCCATCAGGTCAGCTCCATAGTAGGTCGCGATGTCGGTTGGGACGATGGCTTGGGGCTTGAGGTTAGCTTTCTATATCCTCGCATTCTGGTGGCAGGGAAAGCTCACCGCCGAGGCTCCAGCCCGATACAAATGGTTTGTGCAAGTTATAGGCGTCGTAGACCGCCTTGAAGTCCTCGGCATGGCGCTGCGACACGTACGCGCTCTCTTCCGCGGGCGTGTCACTTCGGCCCTGGCCTCGGATGTCGTATGCGATCTAAACTGACAGTGAGTCAAATTGCGCGTTTCGCATATATGCATTAACGAGCTTACGCACTACATGCAGGTGCGTGAGGAGGTTAGAGTCATCGAATTGCTTTACAAAAGCGAGGGCCGTGCAACAGAATCCGGGTATGAAAACGACCGCGGGTTTGTACGGATTACCAGCGGAGTAGGTACAGATTTTTATACCGTCCTTGGAGGTGACATAGCGCACGGAGTCGAGCATCCTTTTTTCTAGGAGGGAGAAAAACTCAAATAGCGTATTTGAACACGCGTTACATCCCGGTCGGAGCGGAGTTCTTACAGCGTTGGAGCATCGTTCTGATAGTGGGATGCGTGATGCACCGCGACGTTGAATACTGCATCGCTTGGCTTCTTCCCCTTGCGGCACGGACTCGGAAATAGCCACGTAACATACACGCCTGACGTTTCTTATCATTCATCGCACTTCCAAGACGTCTCATACTCGTACATACAGGGTTACGGCATCCAAGCACTACTTCGCAATGCCCCAATCGTCCCACTCGCTGGATGATCCAACACGAAGGAGGTTTCTCTCAGCGAGCTTTGGAAGTCTGTCCCATATATCGGCAGTTAGGGTGTCCAGAATATCCTTCGGGTCCTCCGCCACGCCCGCTTTGTGGAAATCATCGTGTTCCAAGCCCGGCACGACGAAATCATCGCATACCATGACTTGCTTCAGGACCGGATATCTCGTCGAACTGCTCAACAGAGCGTCTGCCTCCGCCCAATCGAGTCCTGACCAGGGCACCTCGTTCTCCTTGTAGTTGATGACGAGGACAACCTTCTCGATGCGCTCTGCTGTGATCGCGTCGAGAAACCGGTTTGCCCAGATTCCATTCGGTGATTGGTGATCACGTAGTGATTTGCGTTGCTTCAACTGAAGCACTTCCAGAACACCTCCACCGCTGTGTGTCCTGTAGTCTTCATATTCCCCTGGAGCGTTGAGATCAGAGACTACGACCGTGAGCGATTAAACGGAGACATGATCACATACAGTCGTCCCATTCCGGATCCATCGTCAATGTTAGATGCTTGAGGCCCTTCTCCTTGGCCAACAGAGCACAGAGAAACTCGTGTTCATAGGAATCGTCGACATACCAATCCAACCTCTCGATTTGGTGGATACTGCCCGTAATCAATGCTACGTACTCGAGTGAAGCAAGGGCGAAATCTCCACAAAGCTTCAAGCGCCGCAACGTATAGGAAGATTGAGCCCACAGCTCGTGCCGGTCGGGTATATATTGCGGGCTGTAGGCGGTGTAATCAACCCACGTGAAGCCGGACATCCGCAAGTCCTTCAATGAAGGCATGCGGGACAGAATGCGGGCCAGGTCGTTATATGATTGGAGGACGCAATTCCTGAATGTTAGGCGCTGCAACTTGGGAAAGGACGTATCGAAGAGGCACTCCATAAAGCGGTATTCAAGCTCCTTGGCCTCATCTTCGCCGTCATCACCGTCGTCATCGTCCTCGCCTTCGCTATATTCATATCGGTCTTTCGAGAAGCTCAGTATTGTCAGCTCCTCAATGGCGTGAAACATCCCAAAAAGATAGGGCAAGGTGTCCATCGAAGACCGCGTGACGTCGGGATTGCATTTGGGGTCAGGCTTCGCGTAGATGTATACGGCTCGGACGTGGCGCGCCAGCTGGGGCGACATAAGGAATATGTCACGAAGAACTTCAAAGTGCCCAAAGCTCGGGATACACAAATCCCGGAAGAGGTGATATTGGCTACGGGGTCGAGTGAATTTGCTGACGAGCGCCATGTCTTCCAACGCGACCGTACAAGACCACCACTGGTCGGTGCGGGAAGGCCAAACGGATGGGTCCAATCCATCGATGATGAGATCGAGCACCTCGCGAGGGAATTGACGTGAAAAGCATGGTTCCTCATCGGTGGTGCACGCCGACGAGGTGTCGGAGTCGGCCTCGGAGTCGCTGGCGTTCAAGTCGTCCTGGTCCGTATCCAGATTGTCGTCCGGAGCATATCGCGAGGCGGTCTCCTCGATGCTGAGAGCGTCATCGGCGTCTGCCAGTGAACCGTCTGCCATGTTGCTCGGTTGCAGGGGCACGCAAACGGGTGGCGAAGGCTAGCCGTGAGATGGCGGTATCGAGTCCTTTGTGTTATTCTGCGTGCGTGCTTTATAGTCCAGTGGCATGCCGCAAACGGCGAACAAAGGGTTATGGATTCTCTTTGCAACATCGTCAAAGGTTTAGACAAAGGGCGCGGTCGTTGTTACGTAAAACAGGCGCGCTGGGCCCACAAGGTGCGTCCAATGGGAGATAGCGATGTTTTTCAGATACTATTAGGTTATTACAGCACCCACCGCGTCTCCGTTATTCTTTAAGCCATTAATGTATCGGATAAAGACTTGCAAAAGGTACGCGGCCGGTCGCACATCCTACACCTATACAGCATCCTTTTCGTAGTCCCAAGCGATGACCCCCCGCTCGTTGACCTTAGGAAGCCTCTGCTCGATGTCGAGCAAAAAGTAGTGGATGGTGTTCTCCATGTCCTCGTCATCATCGAGATCGTCCTCGTTTATGTTAATGACCGCGACTGTCTTCAACGCAGGGAATCGCTCGGGGCAGCTCACGAGCTCGTCCGCCGCCGCCCAGTCGAAGCCGCGCCATGGCTCCGCCTCCACGTTGTAGTCGATGACAAAGATGATCTTCTCGAGCGTGTCCGTCCTGAGCGATGACAGGAGTTGGTTCGCCCAGTTTCCGTCGAACTCGGGATCCAGCTCCTTCTCTCGGACGCTGTCGAACACCCGCTCCTTTAACACGAGCGTTTGCAGCGCGCCTCCGCCGGTTCGTGCCATGAAGTCGGAGAACATGTCTGCAGGGGTCTCCATGAGCATGCGGCACGAATAAAACGCGAGATCCGCCGCCGTCTCACCTTCGGGGTGCTCGCAACCCTCACGTTCCAGGTCCCAAGTTTCGGAGCGCTTTGCCGCCGCCAAGGTCAACTTGTTGACGCCCCTTTCCGGCGCCATCAGATCGCAGAGGAGATTGTAGTCGCAGCGATCGACAACGGCCATGTCGAGGTTCTCCACCCTGCGGATGCTGTTGGAGAAGAGGGCGCAATGATGGAATGATTCTAGGTCATGGTCTTGAAGAATCAGGCTTCGCAGATGGTATGAGGATCCCGTCCACAAGTTCTGCGGGGCTGGGATTTCCGTACAGCCGGGACGCTCCGAGTCGGCGTACTGCACCCAAGTCGCCAGTAGTTGCAGCTCCTCCAGCGCAGGGGTGCGGAGAAGTATGGCGGCAAGCTCGTCGAAGGTGTTAATCATGCACTGGATCAACATGAGTTGCTTGAGGCGGGGATAGTAGGACGAACACATCCCCGGTACAACGATCTGCTCGAAGCTGTTGCATTGGCTGATCGAGAGGATCTCGATGTTTTGGCACATCGCCAGAATGAATCGCGCCGACTCAGAGCTATGCCACCCCTGCTCGAGGTAGAGGTAATTGACGTGTGTCGCTAGGCATGGATTGGCCAAGAAGACGTCTCGGAGCTTGTCGCATTGCGTCTTGTCGGAGATGCACACGTCGGCGAAAAGTCGTTTCTGGCATCGAGCACGAGTCGCCGTGCAGACAAGGGACATGTTCTTGTACGCGTCGTCGTTATTGATGTTCTCGATGATGTGATCTAGGATCTCTTGAGGAATGAACCGAACCGGCCGGTGGTAAGAAGTTTGGAACATGTTGGTGCAGGGCGAGTCAACGACGATAGGATGACATCCGGAGGGTGAGTTCTTTTATAGCCAGTCATACCGGATTGTCGAACAAAGGATGCCTTATTGAGTCTGCGACGTTGTACGCTTAACCAAGCAAGAAGGAACAAGAGTATGATCGGTCGCTTACGCTCCACGTTGGCGTGCCACGAACAACAGATTACATATATCTGACCGTGGAAATATCAGAACGTGACCGTGCAACCACAAAATCTCATGCTGCAAGTGAATTTCACACGCTTTAAGTTATCACATCTGAATTTCAACACCCTATATGGATGTATGGCGCCCATCGACTCGGATTAGGGTCGATATCTCGTAGCTTTTGCACTGCAGCATCAAGGGCATAGGGCACAATGCGCGGGTCCAGGTGCTCCGAGTCGCCTCGGAAGAGCTCTTCATATACAGTGCGCGCTACCAAAGGTCCGTCCATATCGCCCATCGACCTGAAACGACGATCGTGAGCTGGAAGGTCGGGCTCTGATCACTGGCTAACTTTACCAAAGAGTAGCGATCACGCTCTTGAAACCGGCGAACAACATCGCAGCTGCAAGATGAACGGTTTGATCTGGCTGGTTGGTATCGCCCTTCGCCGTCTCGCAAGCACTGAGAAAGGCGAGGAAGGCGTTCGGGAGGGAAATCGGCATCAGTTTGGCTATGGTGAGCATCTCGTCGCGTAACAGGAAGCCGCTGGCCAGAGGATTCTTCGGGTCCTGGTACCCGTGGCATGCCAAGTGGAGGATGGTCGCGTTCGGGAGTTCGCGCAGTATCGTCGGCACTCGCGCTCCGCAGTCGTCTCCATGACTCGCGTCATCCTCGCGCGGCAGAGTCAGGAATGCCTCATCTGGCACGACCGCATCAATGTCAGCGAGTTCCTGCTTCGTGAACGGCAAAAACTGCCATTCCGGATCGTACGGCGACGGGGCGGCGGCAAGCAGAATCTTAGACGTGCTTCGCTGGATGGGCCTCAACTTCTTCTGAGCATTCCGAAGAGCGCTTAGAGTAGGAGCGTACGAGGACACGAAGTAATCGCTGCAGCAATGACGCTCGTCTTCCGCGTAGACCCCGGCCGCGTGAACCGGAACGAATGCGAAGGGACCAGTCGGAACCCAAATAACTCTAGGCCGATCGCGTCCTGCGGATTTCTGTAATATACAATGAGTATGCCGACTGAAGTCTGTTTGAGAAGTTCTTACACGGAGATTCAACGCCGTTACGACAGGCTTCACGACGGAATGCCATAGCTCCGTCAGAACGACGTTCCCGCTTTCAGGAGGTCTCCTGCTCTTCTTCACCATCATCAGACGAAGTTGACCATCGCGCTGGGGCATCTCCCTCCTATACGAGAGACTTGCATGCTTCATCGACACGGCGTACTTGCCGAGCTCTTGGGGTGTCAGTCCAGGTAAAGGCACCCATGTGCAGGCGCCATCTCGACCAATAATGATGGCATGACAAATGTTCTGCTCTCCTGGTAAGAGCACGACAACGTGCGCATTAGAGGAATTGGCTGTCCGAGCAAGCTCTGGATAAGTGTCGCTCATGAGGAACCGAGTAAGACCAGGTAACTTCCGGGCTTCCTCGACCAGGGCGTCAAATCGCTCGCTGACCCTTTCCATCGATAGCTCTGGCTGATCGGGACCAAAGCTTCCCTCCTCCAATGCCCGCGATAGTGTTACCAGCTCTTGTGATAGGTGGTCCGGCAGCTGGTCGAAGTCCTCTCGAAGGTGCAAGCTCTGGGACCAGAAGCTCGCTCGCCCTTGTTCAAGGTATTCTATGGCGAGCTCAGGTTTGCCGACCCGAAGCGCGGTGAGCGCAGCGTCCCGCGCTAAGGTTTCCCAGGTGGTCACCTGTCGGAGCCGAGATTGGATATTGAGCGATCTGAAAGCCATCCGGGGTGGTAATTGAAGCAGTGAGCTGTAAACCTGGAGTAGACCATCGATGGCGTCTGGCGTGAATTTGGCCTCTCCGAAGGCCAAGTGCCTCTGCAGTTCCGATACCAGAATCAGGGCATGCGCCATCCGGTCTTTGACGTTTCCCAAATTATCCTCTATCATGCGGGAAAGGCAATCGATGGCAGCCCCGTATTCGCCTTTATGTAGGTGAACGTAAGACAGGCAGTAACTGGCCATGAATCGAGCCGGGTGTCCGTCTTTCATCATCTCCCATGCTTCCGTGGAACAACTCGCGGCAAGCTCCAAGTCTTCTGGCGAAGGGGGATAAGGCGAAGGTTCGATAAGCTCTTCAGCAAGGGCGTACAAAGCCTGGTGTCGCTGAAAATGACCAGGAGGACATTCATCGAGGGTCTCCTTCCTGAGAGCCAGAAGGTTTTCTCGTGCTTGAACACTGGGCGTGATCTGTGCACGATACTTCACCATATCCGCCAAGAAGGTGAGCACATCACCTCTGTCTTCGTGCCCCTTCGGACGATACGTAAGGGCCTCCTCCAACAAGAAGGTTGCATGATCCAGCGTCGGTATGTCGACAAGCGTTGGTGGTGATCCCCTGGTTTCGAGCTCGTAGCTGATCGTTGATGCGAACGTCGTCAGCACAAACGCGCGACGAGGGTGGCCTACTGGGGTCAGCGATATAGCCTCGCGGGACAGATCCATTGCCTCGTCGATTATCCTGGGATCACCCGTATGGCCGAATTTCACCAGACGCATGAGGACCAGGCGCGACAGCCAACGAGGGCGTCCATCCGGGTCGTCGCTCACACCGGACATGATGCCGAGAGTCTCCCTAGCGATGGCAGTGGCTTCCTCCAAGAAATCGAGATTCTTTCCCTGTTGATAGTGAAACATATGCGTCATCCACAAACAGAGGTCCATGGACGTGCAATCGAACGAGTCGACAACGTAACGTCTTAAAGGATGGTCTGCGGAACACTCGATAAGCGCGTGCCGGAATATATCCACCGCTTCTTCCGCATCGGCCAATTTCTTTGATAGCCTATATCGATGATGGAGCGAGTTGCCTAAATTGACGAGTACGTAGAGCCGGTCGTTGGGATGGTGCGCGAATAAAGCCATGGCTCGGCGAAGAAGGTCTATCGCCACGTCAAGATCTGCTTCGGATCCATCCGACGCAAAGACGGTGTTATGCTTGCAGGCTGAGTTGAACGCAAACCTTGCGCGAGCGAAGCCGTCTTCGTCGTCCAGCGGCTGCGAAGAAGGTACGACAGGTCCAGCAGAGGGAGGACCATAACACACCATTCCGGATTCAGGCGCTTCGACTTGAGAATAAGCATGTACAAGTGCCGCACAATCGTGGGGTAAGCGTATAGGGCCTGATGACGGGGTCCATGATGGGCAGCAATTTATTGAAGAAGGCACTGGTGGATTGGTGACCTCCGGCAAGGACCTTCGGCGCGATATGAAAGGCCAATCTACACGCGAAATGGGACTCAGTTGATGAAACGTAGCTCGAACCTGAAGGAAGAGTTCACCTTGAGATGCTGGCAGACTGTGATGCCTGAGGCCCTCAGCGCTCACGGATGATCCAACCTGGGAGCCGCTCCGGACTTCGACAGACGACGACATTGCTGAGGAATACCTATCTCAACATAACTCGAGTGGAAAGGGAGATGAATCGCACCCTTCTGATAGTTTCCCCCTCCGCAGTGACGTAGCAATTCAGAAGGACGAGATTGTTCGTGATTTCGTGATTTCGGGGACGAGACTCCGTCGCAGTTGCAGCTTGCTGGTATTGATACGAGCAAGAACGTAGTGTTTAGCCTTGATATCGGGTGTCGGAGACTGGAGTCAAGGGTAAACCCAAGCACGGCTTTTCTGCAGAATACGTAACGGGGCATAGAGTCCGATCCGAGCTATGCCTAGTACTGATGTCCAAACGGATGACATGCGAATGTTTTCTATCGCACAGGAAAGGTGAGTAATATACCCAGGCTGAAACGTCTGGCACATACCGAGGCTTTGAAATCCCTTCATGTCGTCCTGCATCCCGAGCTTAGTCTGTGCCAGCACGCAAATCCGCGGATGTTCTCATGCATGGTGCCTGCGTGTTCCGACATGTCGATGCCCAGAAGACTAGGATTGCTCGGGATTGCTCGAAACCTTACGACAAGTATGGGCGAGGCTATGATTGAGAGCGTAATAGTACAAACGACCGTGCCAAGTTCGAGCGCTTCTCTCGGACTTTGATAGCTATCTTTACCGCTGGCGGTACCAGCGCGGCCGTCTATGTAGGCAGCTACCTCCCAATTGACTCGTGCAGTGTTCGAGTATATTTGCGAGTCGGAGTCCTCGTCAAAGATACCCCTTCTGCCGTGAATCACAACCGAGTTCGGGGCATATCAAGGAGTCTGGCATCCGAGAGGTGGTTCACGAATCTCAATCAAGACCAAATGATGAGGCAAGAGGGTATCACAGAGGCGAGCTATTACATCCAATCTTGCCTTGATTAGAGGCCAACGTTTGTCCCTCTGTATCAAACGTCGTCTCGACTATTTATCGACCATTGCCATCCGAGCAACCACCTCCAATCAACGAGAGCCCTGCCCGCCCAAGATGCAATCTGCAGGACATGTTGGGCCTCGTAAATCCCATCCGTCGAACTCACAAACTCTCCCACCAACCGACGTCTTCGACTAGAATAATGGTCCTCAACATACCTGCCTGCATTCACGAACAAGTCGATCCGTGCTTGTCTCTCAAAGCGCAGGTACTATTTCCAATGAAGTGGCAAGATGCTCGTCACGGAACAATCACGGCGGCGAATGTTGCCAGCGCGTCCGCAATATACTATATTCTTCCTGCGCTCGTCGACAACCGGAGGGCGTACAGTCGGGGACAAGCAAAGTCAACAAATCATGTAGCGGCTCACACGCATTTCCTATCACATTTCTGACTTTGGATTCAGAATCAGCGCACCTGGAAACATCCAAATCTGCACTCTTTTGAAATTTCCCACGAGAAATCGGGAGTGCCAATTTTTGGGCGAGTTTCACCGCTACATGTAGGGTGCTGCGCCCGGATCAGAAGGCCGCAGATGCCCCCGGAGGGCCGAGGACTGGACCCCTTGACCACTAGCTTCAGGCTGCCCGGAACCCACCTGTATTTGGTGTCTAAGCCGGTTCTTGCCAAAATAGGGATATTTGACTGCCTATTTTGGCGGACAGCCACATTGGTTCTCACGCAGTTCAGTCACATGATTGAAGTTCCTAATTTTTTTGTGGCGTTTCGGCTCGTTAGAATTATCAATCGCCATCAGAATCATACGCAGAATACAAAAAGGAAGCGAATGAGCACTTTTCGGAGATTTTAGGGTCATTTTTTGGGGTGTGCCAATTTTTTGGGGTCAATTTTTCTTATTTTGGCTTTTCTGGGCAATCTGCTCGTGCAATCCTTGAACTAATGTGTATAGTATCATGCCTGAAGCAAAAGAAAAGAAAACCGAGCATATTTCGGGTCGTAAAAACTCGGTCATGTTTTTGGTTGACTTTGCTTGTCCCCGACTGTAAGCGCCGGAGACCAGCGCACCCGGGAGCTTGTCGTCATGTCTTATCGAGGTCCGAAGACTGCGCCGCTGGAGAGAAGCGTCCGAGAACCCGCGCTGATCGGAGCTCCTCAGGGTTCGTGTTGGCGTCCACTGGAGATTCACAAGCGCAGAATGGGTGGGAGACCTTGAGGGG